TGGCGGCGGCGAGGGGGGGCGGACCGGACCAAGTTTACTGTACGCCGCGGCAGACGCTGTAAGAGCTTCTGCGGTCCTCGCACTTCACCATTGCCCGATACTCATGTAAGGTTCCCGGGCGGGCCCCCGAAGGCTGGTCGAGCCCCTTACATGGATATCGGCTGTACCCCCCTGACGGCGGCTCTGTATGCAATGCGCCTAGGTGTGAACGAGACCTTACAGTTAACAATGCTGTATGTTCCATTCCCAGCAGGGACTGTCTGATAGTCAGTGTCATCTAATCACCAGAGATGGTAGAAATAATATAAAATGCCCAATTGGCCAGGTCAAATTCTGAAAGTAACAATTCCGATATGAATTCTTCTCTTAGATTATGACTTTATGGTAGAGATTGTTCCAACATTTTTAATTATCTTTAAAAATCTCTAATTTCGCTGCTGAAACAGACGTGTGTATAGTTTTCTTTACAGTGAGCAGGGGCTTTGTCATTTTGCTGGGGGAGCACCCTTACATCTTCCACCTGGTCTCATGATTCATAGAATATAATAATTTCCCAATGATGAGTCTATCACACATTGCAAACTAAACTGCTGCACTAAGTAAGTAAAATGCAATCTGCACCTATAATAGAACATCTAAAGATGAAAATGAGCAGAGTTGAACTAGAAAATGTTGTCTTTCCATTAATTTCTGAAATCTCATATCAAATCTTTTTCTAAAGCAAATTGTAGCAGACTTGCTTTTCATGCATGCAGCATACTTCAGCGCTTTGAGAAAACATTTTGTAGAGTGAAGTTTTCACACGGTGAGCTGGGGGCTGTCTTGCCTGGGGCAGCACAAAGTGTAAATACGCCGCTGGGTGCAGTAGAAGCACTAAATACCAAGGCCAGCTGGAGCCAGACAACTAAACCCATCTGTGGCTGTCACAATAAAATGGGAATCACGCTGGGCTAGCTGAGTCCAACATGTACTTGTCACTACTCTGGACGGACTGGACTGTGAACATTGGCACTAAACACATTTTAATATCTGTGATTCTCATTCTGGCTACAAGAAAACTTAATAATCAATGCTCTTAATTACCAAAAACAATACTCAGTATTATTACCATTTCATATATTAATACACATAAAAATGAAGTGATTAAAACTGAATTCCTTTAATATGATCATTAATCGTGGGAGACCAAGTAGAATACATAAATCTCTTATTAATGCCCATGCAATATTAATGAATAAAAATGTAACATTCTCACCCACTGTAAACACGCACTCTATGGGGGAGCTTTTCTGTCCCTCAGATTGTTGCCATACACCAAGTCTCTTCATGTTAATGACCAGCAAATAGAGATTGCATGTATTCAATCATTAATATTGTATGACCAATAAATGGAGATTTTATTCTTTTTTATGGTCTCCCACACTTAATGATTGAAAGTATTTTAATACATTAATTTTTCTGTGTAGTAATTAAGAAATGTTGAGCACACTGTCTATTATTAGGAGCAGTCATTACATTTGATGTAATTACCTAATTAACCATTAGTAATAATTAAAGATCCGTTTTGAACACTTATCACATCTGCATACAATTACATTGTTTCACTTGCATGTTTCTATTGTATTTGCACACTGGTCTGAATAGCTATCTGTGACTGTGCCACAAGGGACAGATGAAGGTGGGGTAGTTCTAGTGATGGTTAGCAAAAGTCATGTGACCAAGATGCAGGATGTGTCAGAGAAAGAACTGCCATGGAATATATGGTGTACCGTAATAGTGGGGTGAGTGATTGACCAGGGAAACATTGGATGAGTAGGGTAATAGATAGGTGACTGTGGGAATGGGGAAATGTTGGGGTGACGGTGGGTGATTGTCACCGACAAAGTTTATCCACTCTGCCACAGAAATTGCATTTCGATTCATCCAGTCCTGAGATTTAAACAGCTGTGACAGGCTATACAGCCAATCTGCTGAACTGAAACTTCTCTAGTGTAGGTAAGCAATCAATCTAGGTTACCTACGCGCTCCTCAGCCTTTGATTGGGCAGTGAGGGAGCAGCAGTAGTTCACCCCTTTGGCCACTTTGCTATCTCCTGCTGTCAGTATGCTGCTTGCCTGCACTGCAGCCCATCTGATTGGCTCCTAATGCTGCCCCTCCTTTTCCCAGTCTGAGTACATCAAGTAATTACATGAGGTTAATACCAAGACAAATGTAGGTATTTACAAAAGTTGGTTTAATTGTGAACAGTGCAGGCTTACCGTTGGTACTGGGACTCATGAAGACAGAAAATGACTGATGTAGATATATATATATTACATACATTGTATTGCATAAAGATAACCAAAACTAATTTACCTATAAATTCTCCATTCAGGCTCCAGAGCCTCACTGCACAGTCTATGGATGATGACAAAACCACTTTATCTTCATCTATCACTTCCAACCTGAGAAATAAATTACTATGAAACATATAGCATATGCGTTTATATAAAACTGCATCTACAACAGACAAGACAACACAAGACAAGAGTATGTTATTTGTAAGGGTAAGGATCTTTTTTTTTTAGCTATATGACTGTAAGGACCGCCTTACACTACTCAAAGTTTGGCCGTGTGAGCAGAACTCCGAGCAGTGTGTGGCCGTGTTGGCACTCCCTCTGTTCGACTTTTGTTGAAGGAGCAGGTCAGAAATGTTTTGCCTGACAGTGGGGGGAATCGAGTGTTCTCGTCTGCCGGGCTAAATGAGAAAACACAATAGGGGGATTTATCAAAACTGGAGCAGAAGAATCTGGAGCAGTTGACTATAGCAACCAATCAGCTTCTCTCTTCAGTTTGTTCAGTTAAGGTTTGAAAATGAAAGGTGGATGCTGATTGGTTGCCATGGACAACTGCCCCAGATTCTGCCTGCTCTAGTTTTGATAAATGCCCCTTAATAAGTAATAACTTTAGTCAGCTAAAGTTTCAAATCTAACTGGACTCAGCTAAACAAAAACTTTTTTTCTGCAACATTTATTTCCTCTGTCCTTGCATTGAGCCCATGTTGCCCAATACAGATGACTAGACATGGCATAAATTGGCCTTAAGGGTCCTTGTGTTTTAGCTTTGTGAATTGAGTTTTTAAAATGATAAGAATTAATGTCATGAATCTGCTCACAGTTGTATATACATTTTCCCATTGAAACTGGTACTTTTACCGAAGAGAAGACCCCCGCTTGCCCTCATTCTGCTTTCTCTAGCAGGGAAAGCAGGCGCTGATATCTTCCAGCCTTTGTTCATACTGAAATAAAGTATTCAGTTTACACTGCTGGCAGTGGTTGGGAAAGAAACAAGGGGACCCTCACTGCCTATCACCTCTTACTGATATCTACAAGAAAGTGTAGAGCAAAAAGGTGGTGAAGCAGTTTCATGGCTCTCTGCTGCCCTCTAGTGAAAGAGCTAAAGTGAGGGCACAATCCTGCAGATCACAGCTATATAAATCTTAATTCTTATAGTACAGTGGTACCTCAGTTCACAAACTTATTTAGTTCCACGATTGGTCGCGAACCGAATTGGTCGCGAACCGAATTGGTCGCGAACCGAATCAAATTTCCCCATAAGGTTCAATCTAAATAAGGTTAATCCGTTCTGACCCCTACGAACGTAGTCGTGAACCGATTTTGGTTGTGAACAGAATCACATTTTTCCATAAGGTTCAATGTAAATAAGGTTAATTAATTCTGAACTATATGTAAAAAAAAAAATGTAAACACAAAAATATGAAACAAAGTACAGTACAGTATGAAGAGAGTGAACACTAGCCATGCTGGATTGAATAATACTGTACTGTATGTGCTAAAAAGCTCACAAAAAAAATTCACAGCAAGTGTGCACACGTCTATCTGCGATCGCAATCTCGACTAGAGGAAGCCACGACCACGTGTCAGAGTGGGGAAGATGGCTGCAGTCGTGTTCGTCATCCGATTTGGAGTTAGTGAACGGAAGTAACATTTTGCTGAACCTCCTGTTCGTGAACCGAATTCTTTGTGGACAGAAGCGTTCGTGAACCGAGGTATTACTGTATATTCACTCTAATGTACAAAGCTGAGTGCTTGAATGCAAGATCTTTCTTCATTTATCCAAAAACTGAAAATAATCCATTTTAGTGCATTACAGGAGCATATACAGAGACCTGATTTCTATTTACTAGGTGCACACAGTTTGTACATTTTAGAAATGTCCAAAATTCCTTGACTATAATGTATCTTCGCAGGACAATATTTTAGTAATCTAGTTTGGATCTGTTACTCAGTTTCTCTGACAGGTTCCTGACATGTCTGGTCATACTCCTGAACTTCATTAACATTTAATGTCATAACACACACCACACACACACACGTATGTCTCCGGAATGAATGCTTGGAATGACCTTTTTCACACATCCAACCCCCACCTCTAATATTTATGGCTAGCTTTACTATAATATTTAAATAATTTATTACACCATATGACAACCTGCAGATGATTTAGACCTGACATATAGTACTATAAAGGGCTTTCAGCTATATTCAGTTTCCTAGGTTTCAAGGAAACGGATCTCACAGATGTGGGGAAATAAGGAGGAGGGTGGGTGGGTGGAAGGAAGCGCATCCTGTTATTTTGTATGTAAAGATGTAAAGGTCATATGGTGGTGTGGGTGTCATAATGGATCAAAATACCCTAAAACCATTTTGAGCAGGTAATGAGCATCTTCATTTTCTAGAGGTGGTCCTAAAACCATTAAGCAGCAATCCATCCTTTATCCAGGTAAACTATATATTCTAGGGCTGGTACCCAGATAGCAAGCAATTGAGCTGCAAGTTTGAAAATGACTTGCTAAACTATTGCAGATTGCCAAGCTTCACAATTTTGTTGCACAATTACAGCAAGTCTGCATGGCAAGTCTCCAGACCAGCGAGCTTGCAGAGCTCTTGCTAAGACCTGCAGGACTCTTGCTGTAGACTTGCCAAGCAAATTTGCTACAAATTCAAAAAGTGTCAACTAGAACTTGTGCTGCGAGTGTTCCGCAAGTCTACAACTTCCAGGAATGTGTGCAGCAAGTTAACAAGAATTACAATTTCACCCTGCCACAAGTTTGTAGCAAGTTATCCTTGCTATCTGGGTACTGATTAACATTTTCATGTTCAATTAATCGATTTTTTTTAAAATCGATTAATTTTCGATTAATTATAACGCACATACAGATCCAACTACATTGGCCAATACACATACAGCACAGCAATGAAGTAATAAAATGAACTAGGATCACACTAATCCAGCACGTTATTAATCTCACATGCTGCACTCAATATGGCCGCTGCTTGAGTGGGGCAACTCAGAATAATAACGTGCCGGATTAGCGTGATCCTAGTTCATTTTATTACTTAATTGCTGTGCTGTATGTGTATAGGCCAATGCCTTGGCTGGCGCTCGTGCAGAAAGCTTCTTGGACAAACTCACCGGCCCAAGCGGCTCCATTGGCTAACGAAGGGAAGGGGGGAGGAGTCCGGTGACATCACGGACATCGACGTCACCGGACTTCTCCCCCCTTCCCTTCGTTAGCCGATGGAGCCACTTGGGGCCCGCAGTACGATCGCCCACACAGGAATGCGTAGTCATAAAATGCCCTGGGTTCCAGTGCGGTGGGATGGCAAAAAATCACCCTAGAATGCAAGGAGACTTTATGTATGCGATCCCTTGAGTTCCGGGCAGAGGACGTTGTGGTAGACGCACAGGCTAGTGGAAACAAGCCCTTGGGGCGAAATTTGCACAATGTACTTAACGTCATTGTGTACAATGCAGGACCCTGCATTATAAATGACATTGGCAAGGAGCGGCCACATGACCAGAGAGGAGGAGTGATCTTGGCGGACCTGTTGTCCGGTGTGGAGGTAGCCTGCAGGACTGTAGGATAAGGTAAGTACAGCACTCCATAAGCTCCCCAGACTAAACCAACATTATATACAATATACATAGTTTGGGCTACAAATTTTTTTTTCTCAATGACCTCAACATTCTTCTGTATACTAATCAGTATCACAGCTTTTTCATAAAGTAACTGTGAAGTTTTATTTGGCAACAGTAGACAGCAGAAGTGTCTCTGAGTAGGTGGTGTTTGCAACAGATTTCAAACTAGACTACTTTAACAAGGAACACAAATGTCTACCACTTCTAAAATTAAATCCATGGACATACTCCAAGAAATAAGATTATTATCAGAGCAACACCATCCCAGTCATCATTTGGCACAATTCACATGTATATAAGTTCATGCAGGCATTTCAGACAGACTGAGGATGCTACAATGTTGGAAATTAATCTAAAAAAAAAGCAGCTTTGTTTGAGGACAAAAAAAAGTAATTAATCGTATTGTTGCATACAAAATTCATAAAAATAACACTAGTGGGTGCATTAAACAAACTTGTTCAAACATGGCGACCACTTGCAATCTTCTATACCACCTATGGACCGTGCATTCAGAAAATAACATTTATCAATTTAATGTTGAAGGATGTGGGCTTATTTATGATTGGCTGCAGTGCATTACCACACACTACAATATGTCATTAAAGGGGCCGTCTGTTTAATGTGTAGATCTCCTATATGCTTGTTGTTTGAAGATCAGCCATTTGGATTATTTTCTAAAAAAAACTCTTAATAAAATGGCAAAAGACAGGGAATGATTTATTTCTGAAACATATTTTTTAACCCTTGTGTGATTGTATTATTTTATTTCTGCCAGATGGATGGATGAGGAGTCCAAAAGACCCAATTCTGTGGAAGTTAGGATGGACATAAAATCTCCCTATTTTGAAAGCTTGCAGGGAGGTGCTTTCTATCTAGTGAAAAAAGAAGGAGATTTTGCCAGATTGAGTTTAAATTAACCTGCACAAGGAAAATGACAATCGGAATATGACGTGATATAAATGCGCAACAATTCTACCCTTTCATAACAGACCCACAGTAATCTAGTCCAATGTTTTTTCGGATATACAGGTATATTACAAGCAATGTAGTGTACAGTACTCACTCTGTAATCATGTCCACATGTGCTCTCCATTGACAGACACCTGTAGAACAAAAAAAATATTATGAATTAGAATGACATTAAATTGATAAAGCTTGCAGCATATTTTATTCTTTGCTAGATTCTGCTACAGAATATCTGGAGAATCAGCTACAGACAAACCAAGGATGTCAGGTGCTTGGATCATTTTAGAAGGAGTTAAATAGTGCAGATTAGGGTAAACTAAGGGTTAATAATGAGTTACATAGGAACACATTTTCCAAAAAAGGAACAAATTTTATTTTACATCTCAGGTTGCTTTAACTGACTTCATATGCAGATTGAACCTTGTCCCTTTGATCTGTAGATGCATGAAACAGAGTAGGTACAAAAGTAACAATGTTACTGTATCTCTTCATCTCGCATCTGAACAATTTTTATAAACATTGCGTCAGATTTGTCTTTTTTCAACAGCAGCAACCATTACAGCTGCAGTATTTTCATCAGCTATTCTCAAACTTTTTTTTCAGCCTCAGCCCCTTTAAAAGTAGGGATGCACAGATACAGATACTAGTATCTGTGCTGATATCGAGTATTTGGACAAGTACTTGTACTCGACAATCTATACGTCCACATTTTTTCTTTTTGGAGTAGGATAGTGTCCGATACTTACCCCCCCCCGATACCAGAACTTCTGGTCAGAGGGAGATTTCCTCTGACCGGCAGTGCCGCGAGAGAACATGGAACCGGCTTCCCGGCCAATCAAGAAGGCGGGTGGTGGGTAATGACTCGCCGCCTGGCTTCGTGATTGGCCGGGAAGCCGGCTCCATTTTGTTTGGCTGCCTCTATGCTGATTGGCTGAAGCTGGCTTCCCAGCCCATCAGCACTGAGCTGGCCAAACAGCATGGAGCGGGCTTGCTGCCCAATCAGAAAGCTGGGCAGCGGATAATTACCTGGTTACCTGGGTAATTCCCAGGAAGCTGGCTCCATGCTAGCGGAAGTAACGGTATCGGCGAGTACCAAAATATAAATATTGGTACTCGAAAAACCGGTCCCCGTGCATTCCTTTTTAAAAGTATGCAAAATCTCAAGGCACCCAAATCTAAAAGTAAAAAAGGTATATGTAAAAAATTATATGTAGCTCCCCCCAAGATCTATACCATACACTTATTCTAGATAGGTGTCTGGTATTGATTTTAAGGGGAAAAACACACAAAAAAATTACTTCCCCCACCTCCCATCAGGGTTCATCAGAGGGTGAAAATGTCGGTGCCAATTAGGGAGCTTGCAGATGTTGCATTGGTGGAGGGGAGGTGCATATTGAAGGGTTTAGTTCCATTTAATAAGGGTGCACCCATTACACTGGTGTTACAGAACACTATGGTTTAACTAAAGAGAAAGCACAGCAGGAGCTGTTAACCTTCAGACTCTCTCTCTTTGAATACATTTCCCTATAGAGCAGAAAGGATGAGGGGATGAGTCACTGGGTGTGTGAGTTTAGGTTTGAGCTACTAAGCTCAGTGACCAGCAGACTTTTTTCAATAGAGATAGCTAAGAAGAATAGACCAATAAATATATTGGAGCCTGCTGTTGTAAAATTTCGCTGATACAAAAGGAAAACAATTATTTTTTTCTTATTGTAACATAATGTTATTCTTTAAAAAATGAATTTCTTTATTTGAATAAAAAATTATACTGAATCTGTTGGCTATTGCATGCTGTTGAACAATGCATCTTATAAAACTCTATTCACATCTTATGTATGTCAAATGATGTTACACAAGTTTAACTTACACAGTGGACGATCTTTCTCAGGCCCGTGTATGGAATACTCTTTAATGTCATAAGTATAAACGTATCCAATATAATCTCCTACAAACAACAGCGAATTGTCTTTATTCACAGCGAGACTGCTGACCTGCGTTCCATTTTTAGACTAAAGTAAGAAAAAGAATGATTCATTGTGGTATAAAATATCAACGGTTCAATTTAATTTGATTTTTACAAATTCAGAATATTTTTATGTATGTCTGCATTTATTACAGTCTCTTGTTCTTAAATGGTATGATGTGCACCAACTCCGACTGACACTTACTGGTTTAAAGCTTGCAGTCAGCTTCCCTCCATGTAGCAAATTCCAGAAATTGACAGAACCTAATTAACACATACAAAGTTTATTTTGCTTTTTTTTTTTCTAGAATACAAGTCTCGAGGGCCACTAATTAGCATTTATTGTACATTACCAAGAGGTCCATTGGAGACCAAGGAACCAGCTGCCTGTAACCGCACAGTACGTGTTTTCAGAAATAGAATCTTGCTAACACTTCTGTCTTTCACTGTAAAAAGAGCACATATTCAGATTAAAACAATGCAGATATCGATATCTGCAAATACAAATAACTATTTTATGCATTAGGGCTGATTTATGAATCTTCCACAATCTAGTGGTAGTAGTGCCATGTTATACGTTGGAAGATTGTCGTTTGAGCAGTACTGCCGCCAATAGATGGTGCTAAGGAGCACAAGAATTTATTTTGCTCCATTTATATTTATCTTACTCAGCTATAAAGTGAACCGGTTTGAATTGACCCCCCCTTCCACAGGCACACATACCATTATGTATAAAGAGTATTTTAATGGGAAAAAAAAATCTTAATTCCCATAGCAGACAAACGGCTTCTAACTGCAGTTTCTGCAATCCAGGTTTTGAAATGGAGAGTTGCTATGATCAGCCCCAGTATTAAGACATGTCCTCCCCTTTCCAATCTTACAGTGCTCGGGCCTACAATAGGTCAAATGATGTTATGGTGGGTCATGCCTATTTACCCCATATTTCAGAAGTAGGGAATTTTCGGTAGGCTCCAACACCACAATTAGCAAACTGAATTTTTACACAGTATACAGATTTAGACTCCAAGTACCTAGAACCAGTAATATTCAGCATGGGAACTCCAGTACTGGGGAAAAACAGAAACAGATATAGCCCAATATGCCCTAACCCTATCCTAATCCTTAGCTTATCCTTAGACTTAGCCTACCATAAGACTTAGCTCTCCCCCTCTCCCAAACCTGCTACTTAAGCTAACTTCTAAATCCAACCCCTAACACCCTAACCTTAACTCCGGATTTAACCCTTTACCTCATACACTTCACCTAAACTCAAAAAGTGAAGATATGGTATAGGAAAGAAACATAAACAATCGTTCATATGCTGATGACACTACGCTCATAGCTGAAAATTTGAAGAGCAAAGAGCCTCACAGAGAAAGTTAAAGAGCATAGGGAAAAGATGAAATGTTAGCCAAATATTAGAAATCTAAGGTTTTGACAACAGGAAAGACAGCTAATTTCAAAGTGGATGGTGAAAACATAAAAGTAGCGCACAGCTTCTGCCTCCTTGGGTCAATTATTGTGAGCAAAATATTCAGCAGTCAGGAAAGATGACGCAGACTGGCAATTGGAAAAGCAAGGGTGAAAGATCTTCAAAAAGTACTGATGTGCCTTTAAGTGCAAAGATCAGAGTTGTCCAGGCTATAGTATTTTCTGTCACTCTCTATGCATGTGGAAACTGACCCATGAAGAAACAAGACAGGAAAGGTATTGATTATATAAGACTTAATACCCAAACGGAAGACATTATTGTGAAGGCACACTATCTATGTGGTCACCAGGAGTCAACATTGGCTTGAAGCTGAACTCCAGGTATAAATATTTATGCATACTTATATTGGTCCACCTTGGCCCAATGCAAGTATACATATTGTATACTTGGTAGGGCCATAGGGATCCTGTAGATCACTGTGCTTCACAGCGATCTTCTGGTCCTGGTACTGTGCTGGTCTGGGCAACCTTCCCCTCTGCAGTGAAAACACAGATGGTAGCTTGCTGGGCACAAGGGCATTCAGGAACACCTAGTATTTTTATAAATTAATACTAGGTGTCTTCTGATTGGACGAGGGGGAGTGACCTAACATCGCTCTGGCTACTACAGTGTTTTACTGGATTCCCATGGCCTTACTGGGTGTAAAATATGTATATTTACATTGGGCTTGGCTGGACCAGTGTAAGTATACCAGCTTCTTTGGGGTCCCTTGGTGACCCCTGATGTCTCCATAAAGAGGACCTGTCACACCCTATCTGCTATTACATAGGGGTGCTTGTTAGCCTCCTATGTAATAGCAATAGGGTTAGTGTAAAAAAAAAAAAAAAAGTGTTTAACAGTTATAAAAATGAAAGTAACATAAAAGAAAAATTAAAAATGCAAAAAAATGTAAGTCCCCCGCCCCCAACGTGCACGCACATACACACGCGTCGGTGCGCCTACATGCGAAATGGCCAATTGTGCTACACATGTTAGATGTCGCCACGAACGTCGGAGTGAGAGCAATAATTCTAGTGCTGTCAATCACTGTTAGCACTAAACTGATGAGCGGTAAAAACGTTAAAAATGTTTCCCTATGTGAATTTGGGGTATTGACTCTTTTTTGCGGCTTCTGGGGCGAACGCAATTTTAAGGCTTGACATGTTTGGTATCTATTTACCCGGCATTACCCCGTCTTTCATATTTTACCAAAAAATTGGGTATTATATTATGTTTCTGTGCACTAAATGTTAATTTAGTTTATTTTTTCCTAAAAATACGGGTTTAATAAACATTTGTGCAAAAACCGTGCAATGTAAAAAATTGCAACTAGCATTTTTCAATTCTACGGGGCCTCTGCTTGCAGAACATATATCATTGTTTGGGGGTCTGGAGCTGTTTTCTAGCCAAAAATGTATATTTTATCATGTGTGAGGAAATAGTAAGAAAATGCGTGGTTAAAATGACACACCAAAAAAAAATTTTTTCTATTTTTAATTTTAGTTTATTAAACTTTTTTTTATTTGTTTGCATTTAAAAATTTTATTTATTTAACTTTTAAAAAAAATTTTGTTTTTTTAATTTTATTTTTAACTTTTTTTTTTTAAACTTTTTTTTTTTTTTTACTTTATTGCTGGGTGTCAGGTACTCCCATGCTGATTGAGAGCAGGCAGTGGGCGGGTGCAATAGCCAGCCTGCTATTGGCTATTGCATTTTAAAATATCCAATAGCAGGCTGGGTATGGCTCCCAGATGTAGAGGAGACAGGGGGGCGGGGCAGAGGAGAAACGCCTGGGCCGGGGGGATCGGAGGAGCGGCGGGGATTTGAAGGGACACAGACCGCTGCAGCCAGCACCAGCGGGGAGGAGAACAGCGGCAACTAATCGATGATGAGAATCGTTACCAACGATTCTCATTATCGATTTTAATCGATTTAATTGAATAGTTGTTGCAGCTCTAATATCAACAACCATTGTAATGCAAGATGGAGATGGTGGTGGAGAAGGAATGCATAGTTATTAAGAGGTTATATTATAGTTTGGGCTTATAAAATAAAATAGTAATAATAGTTTTAAAATTGGTAAACGTGCAGGTCCAGATGACTTCTCCACCTTATTTTAAAGACATTTCCTAACACCTCATTTCACTAAACTTTTGATATGCTTACGGCCAATATTGATATGATACCGAAACCAGACAATACCCACATACAGGGTCCAACTTTCATTATACATTTCTAATCAGTTTTGACGTTAAGCTTCTAATATTTTTACCCTATGGTTGAACAACTTCTTAGGTTTCTTAATTAACAAACACAGAGTGGGTTTTATTCCCAAGTGCCAAGCCACTGATAAGGATGCTATATCTGAGTCATCTTGCACACAATTGTAAACAAGAACTACTATTACTTTTACTGGATATGTAAAAAGCTTTTGAATTTTTATCTAGGCCGTACCTAATGCCAGTTCTCTGTAAGTGGGGCTTTGGAGATGATTCCTCCCTTGGATGTAGGTGATGTATCCTCAGCCCAAAGCAGCACTTAGATACCATGGTTTTTAACCACTATTCTTCCCTATTAAGAGAGGCACCCATCAGGGGTGTCCCCTCTCTCCCATTCTCTTTGATATTTTAGTATTTCTTACTTCCCCAAACACTTCACTGCTCAGCCTTTTAGCCTCCCTCCACACCTTTGCATCAATTTATGGCTTAAAGATTAACCAATCAAAATCCACAGCAATGAGCATCTCTCTTACCCATCAAACCATCTCCCAACTGAAACAGAACTCCCCCTTCCCATGGGTCACATCTCTTTCTTATCTGGGCATTATTCAAACTCTGACATATGATACACTTCATCACACTAATTATACTCCACTATTAAACAAACTCAGATAACTTCTGCAAACATGGCAAACTTTCAATATTTTATGGATCTGTAAGATTAATGCCATAAAAATGAACTTCCTGACAAAGTTTTTACATACCCATAGAATTTTAGCTATTCCTGTCCCATCCCATGTCCTCTGTATTTTACCAGGAGCCTGTGTGTTTGAGAGAACTGTATGGACCTTTTTACTCACAAACATTCTCAACCATTAGAACTCTTGCTATTCCTTGAAGGGTGTTCTAGCTAAATATACAGTACCTTTGTTCCGTCTACATCCTGCAACATGCATTATGTGATTTTGCAATGGTACTGTTTGTATTACCCTATCTACTAATATAACCTGTTTGTACTTCATCTTTCTTTAAAAAAAAAAACAGTTTGTAAAAATAAAATAACAATAATCATCATAACATTAATACAAAACTGAAGACTAAAAAAATGCAGAAGATTGGCTCCAAATACATGGCCTATATTTTTTCCGCAGTATTATTTTTACATGATGTTGCTGTAGCAACTGTGGTAGACCCAAAAGTTTTCAGCCTGTTAGTGCGCAAAAATCAGCTTATAGGATTTATTATAATGAATGTATCACCTACAACAGGGGCTAAACTAACAAACCTGGGTATACAGCCTACTGGGCTCAATTAACATATATATTTTAGATTAGATTAGATTACAGTAGAAAAGGGTTAGATCCTTTGTTTTGTTGTTTTAATAGTTGTCTGTGGGGATCATTGTCACCGAGTCAGAAAGTGTAGTCTAAGTGTACTAGGTGAGGGAAAATCATCCAACGAGGGCACCTGGTCCTCCTTGGACAACTCTTTAAGTTAGGAACTCTGTTCAGTTTGGAAAGATTTCATCTTATTGTCTGTTGCATCTCCAGGACAGGAAATGAAGAGCAATCTCCCTGGCCCTTGTCCAGTGATACAACATCTTCATGCTGTATTTTTGCCCATACAGTATCTTTTGCCCAAGCTCAAAGTCTTCACTCATCTTAATTGTCCGGGCATATGTCCTCGGGAGTTAAGGTGCCCATACACTGCTCGATTCTCGGCGGGTTTCTAGCCTGCTCGCCCGATAGCTGCGGAACGGGCCGTTGTGCGCACGCGCACACTGCCCGTTCTGCATTGCCGTCATCGGAAGCCCGCCCCTCAGCGGAGCGGGCTTTCGATGATCGCAAGTACGATCTGCCCGTCCAAGGTGGGCAGATCGTACGGGCTTTCAAGAGGCATACGGCCATCGCAAGACAAAAGTCTTGCGATGGTCGTAAGGTGTATGGGCACCTTTACTTTGTCTCATGACTTACTTCCAGCATCTATCCATGCACAGCTGTCAGTGTACAGTTACTTATTAACTACTAGCAGGCAGGAAGTTATTTTATTGCAAAAAAGACATACAGTGTCTGCCCTACCATAAATATCTACCTGCTAATTTTGTATTGTATTTTACTATAGATGCTCTTTAAAAGAAAATTGCATTGGAAGAAATACACACAGTGGCCTCATTATAAGGTCCACCTACGAATAATAATGACAAAGGGGTGCACATGATCAGCAATAATACTAAGTGTGATGAGGGCAATCTAATGAGGGTTAAAGTTTAAAACTGATCTAATCTGACCTAGGTAAACTGAAATTAGATTGGCTGCAGCATGCCACTGCACTGCCTTATTAAAGTAGACTTGAACTCAACAAGTGAAGAATTGCTATCTTATAGGGAACATCTATACATTTTAATTGTCCCTAAGCAGTACCATAAAAGATTCACCCTTTGTCTTAAATAATTGCTGAAATATTGGTATTTGACTACTATGCCTACAAACTCATAGCTTTATATTTGCCGTGTAAGAGGCGCTGCTTCCTGTGACTGCTAGTCTCACAAGATTAGGCTTGCTGGAATGGCAGCTATACCTGAAGGCCTGTACTGTCTCTACCTCATTAATTTTGATGATCTGTGCCTTCTCCACCGCTCATGCTACTTCTTGAATATTCCCTTACCAGTCAACAGATCAGCAGCCACCATGGGGGCAGCATTAACATCAGGAAGAAGAGCCAAGCACTTCTACCAAAATGGCTACCTACCTACAGAGACACAGTGTAGAACAAGGCTTGCTTAGTCAGTGATGGGAAAAAGATCAGTTGCAGGAAGTCTACAGGCTGGTGACTAGTCCTTTGCCCTCTGTCTTTTTCGGGCACAGCTTCTACAGTTCAGGTCCTCTTTAGATAAGCCATGGCAGAGATAGACTTTAATCTTTTGGGCAAAACAAGGTCAAGATCTCATTGTTGCTCAGAATAAATTTTGTAACATGGACACGCTAGGTTTATGACATAACATTTGAGGGAAACATGGCCAATACTAAAAAAAAAATGTATCAATTTTTCTTAACAGGGTCAGGGGGTTGAAGTTTGGCAGCAAAATTTGTATGGGGGGTAGACTGGCTGGGGCTGGGATAGAGTTTAAAGTCTCTCGGACATGCAAACAACATGCAGTAATCGCCCTATCAATAAAAGTAACAATAGCTGATAACAAGGGTGGCAAAGAAGAGTGTTCTTTATTCAGACATAGTTTAGCACAATCTCTTATTGCAGCCTTGTGCTTGGATATGCTTTGCCATTGTGGCAGTTATGTGTTTGTTTCAAGCTAATTTTATGCTCTGTGACAGAGCTCTTGTACAACAGAAATTAGCATCTTCTATTATAATATATTACTATAGCAAAGCTGTGAGTTTCTATTGCTGTCTGCTGTCTATTGGGAGCTGCAGCAATTCTCAAGGGAAAACCTATTTGTGAACTGCTTGCTTTTCACATACCTATGAATTGTCGCATGGTACTTAAAGAGATACACTGTACTAGCTAATTTAAAAAAAAATCATAGTTATACTGTAATATATAAAGGCAAGATAACAAGTTGCTTCTTTTATGAAATGATTAGTCTCATTGCCAGCCATGCTGGTATTTGTAATTCTACAAAGACTGGAGAGACCGAAATTAAAAGTCTTTTCTGCTGTATGGCGGCGGTGCAGTAACAGATTTCACCAGCTGGGACTATAGCCAAGATCTACAATCACAGCCTCTGTGAAACCTGGAAGCTGTGGGGTTCAGCCAGGACCCTTTTTTTAATAATAGGAAGAGTCAGAATCAGATATGAGATATGTATTGAAATCTTCACTCATGAAAAGTGAAAATGAGTGACTTTGACTCATTTGTCTCCTCTCAGTTACACCCTCTTTTTTTTAAGAATAAGTACAATTTTTAAGTATATTCACACATCCCAACAGGCAGTGTTTCAGCTTCATACTCTATGGGACCTGGCAGAGAACCGCGGCATGTGTGCACATGCACAAGGTCCCCCGCTCACGTGCAGATTGCCACAGACCTCTGCCAGTCAATGGAACCTGGCAGAGACTTGCAGCATGTCTGCACATGTGTATGATCTAATTTCAAGATGGCAGCACAGGACTACAACGGTGCAAGGGAAACTTCAGCTGGAATGCAGTCAATGCTGGACTCCACTGACTAGTAAGTATGCTGTTTATTTATTTTCATACTTGGACAATTATTAGAAATTAAGATTTCAATTTAGCTAGGTGGGGTGACATCCCTCTTTAAAATTGGCATTTACATCATGCAATTTCCAGTTCACACAATTTCAATCTAATAAAATTCAAATGAACATTTCGTATACATCCTTTTTCATGGTACTTATACTGTTAAAAAAAGGGGGGCAAGCCATTTTTATCTTTAGTTTTAATCAAGTAAAAAAAAGATTCAAATATTTAGCACTGTTTCTGTTACAGTAAAGCAGTGTTAGACCCATGTGCTAATTAGCTTAAGACTTATGAGCAGCTGTAAAATATCTTCTCGTTTTTGTTAGAATAGGGTATGGCGTATTTATTACAGGTATTTTATAGCCCTGACAAGTTATGCAGTGCTCTACATGTCCGTACTGCACATTCCCATCAGTCTCTGTCCTCAAGGAGTTAACAATCTAAGGTCCCTATCTCATATGCAGCCAATTTAGACAGGAGCCAATAAACCTTCCAGCATGTCTTTGGAGTGTGGGAAAAAAACTGGAGTACCTGAAGGAAATCCACACAAGTACAGGGAGAACATACAAAACTCCATGCAGAGAGTGTAATGATTGGGATTCGAACACCTATGCTTTGTGCTCCCTATCTGCATATTTAAAGTGTCAGCTCCTTACTTCAGTCTGCCTGCTGATCTTCATAGGTGCAGAATAAATTGTTGGTCACAGTGCTGCAGCATACATACAGTATATCGGAATTATTTACCACTTCAGTTGTCCAGTAACACAATTTAGAGGACCTCTGCATGTGTCCTCATGTCTACAGAAGGACAGCACAGAAAACTCCCTTTTCATCATGGGTACCTATGATTATTTCAGGACTGCTCAGCTGTGGTATGCTGAGAAGAATGAATCATTAATTACAATTCTGTCTGTGTACCTGACATACACATACGGACGTCATAAAAACGAATGAGTGCTCTTCACACTGAGAATTGCCGTGTTTCTACGGAGAATAGAATTTTGCGGTTTGCTTAGTGAAGCTATTTACTTTCACTCACGTTTTATTCCTGCAGAGTCAATGTGAAGTGCTGTGTTTATCCGGCAGTGTATGTGACCTGAAATCATGTTCCAGATAATAATTTCTCCATCATAACTCGAGCTGGCAAGGAGATTAGGTGGATTTTGAGAAATACACAGAATGTCTTCACGGTGGCCTCGAATCTACAAGGGGAAAAGACAAAGTAAACTCTGAGGCTGTTTCCCATAATCCTCCACACTAGATATATGCACTCCGAGAATGGAAAAGTGTTTGTGCTCATAAACCTCATTAAACCAAGCAGAGCTAGTTATTGCTTACTGACATAAGATCTATCCTGTCGTATTGCTATGACAAAAATATGTAATGGTTTAAAATGTACAAATGTCATTGTATATGAACCATGTTATTCCTAAACCGCATTCAGGTATTTAATTTTGTAGGTATAATTCATTATAGTCTATGTAAACCATAAGGGCCAATTCAACTTTTTTGATGCAGCAAAATAAATGTCAAGTAAAAATCCCATTCTATCCTATCTGGGTGGTTCACATCTACGTGCTGCTGTCTAGTGTGAAAGTCAAAGGAAACTCTATGAGCCCATTCACACTGCATGCACATGGATCAGTGTAAATCAAGTCCAAATCTCATTTTTTAGTATGTTTTGCATCATGCCTCACTTTTTAAAGTTTTCTTAAGCAACTTGTTTTTTGCAAATCTGTTGCAAAGTTTCTTATATGGAGATTCTCCCAGTAACATCATTTTTTGTTTTAGGCTGACAATGCTAAGCCACTGCCTTGGAATGTAAGCTCTTGTATATGACCCTTTGGGCTGGCAATCTGACAGACCTGAGAGGCAGACAATTTAGAGAAAGCACATGGCAGAAAGACAATGCTGCAAGTAATGATGTTACTGGCATGAACTAAAGGTAAGAAACTTTAAATTAGATTCACAAAAAATATGTGTGTATGAAACTGTATACAGTGAGACACGCTGCCAAAAAAAAACAAAAACATTGATTTTGGGTTTACATACATTTACATCATTACTTCAAATCTCAAAAAAAATAATAATGAATAAGTGTATTCTGCAAATTCCGGCCCACCTATTTTACGCAGCAACTTTGTAAAAATGGCCTGGCAGTGGGAACTAGCAATTGGATCATCTCCAGTACGCGGTGTATTTAGAAATTTGCACTTATCCTTTAAAGGGTCAGTCCACTGAAGTGGAATACTTTAGTTATAAATGGATTGATGGGCTTAGTCACAGGCTTCTTATATCTCTTCGGCTCTACCTCAGAAAGATGTTTCTACCATAGTTTCAGGTGCTGCTCCCATCCACTCCAGGAAGAACTTCCAAGAACTCGGGGAAAATCAAAAATGTACCCTTGCAGTGGGGATACCCCCACACTGCAAGAGTCAAGTGCTCATTTTGTCTAGGGGGCTCAAGCAAAGCTGTATTACCCACCTGCTCCCTGCTCCCATTACCTCCCTCTGGGCTGCTAGACCAGTCCCTCTCACCTCCTCTCCACTGAGCTCCGGCAGTTTATGGATCGCTGATGTCATCATGTCTTATGCAGGTCCATTGACCTTCACTAGACATGAGGATGCTGAGGGACATTCTCTAGCCGGAGTGGAGGGGGAGAGAGAGGTGAGTGCTGACCGCCACAGGACAGAGGATCAGGTAAGTAAAACTGCTTTATATGAACCCACTAGATAAAAGAGCACTTAACCCATACAGTTCATGGGTAGGCCCACTGGAAGGGTAAGTGTTTTTATTTCTTTAAAATCTCACTACCTCTGCTACAACAAAGGTATTCCGCCTTCTCTTGTGTCTCCTGCTACATTATATAAATTTTAAATTATATTGGGAATCTATCATAGAGTGATCTCTGTTCTATTTCCCTTGCTTGTTCGTACATTTGCACAGTTACCATACATGTTCTCAATTCTGTGTTAGCCTGCACACTATTTATACACCACACATGCAGCTTTTTAGATCCTTTTTAGTCCTGCAGTCTGAACAAGGATATTTAGCGTTGACTGAGAACAATATTCACATTATTATCAATGTGTATTATATAACAAATCTCTCAAAAGGGATTTTGGATTACCAATTGTTATGAATCTCAAATTTGAGTTGACTATGTCATAATTTTAAAAGTTAAAATTCCAATGCAGCTTAAATTCTTTATACTGTAAAATGTAAGCCAATATAAAGACAATAGAAGACCAACATGATTACAAACTGCTCCATGATTTGGTTTTAATAGTCAGTAGAAGGTCTATAAGTAAGACATGTTAATAATAATCAACCTTGTATTATATTAACGCAATATGAACATAAGCACTTTATTTAGTTACCTCGTTCATGCTCTATGAATCATTAAAAGGTGATGTGTGCCTAAGGGTATACTTCAGCATGCTTCATTACTGCTGTATGATATAAATCACTCTAAATAAATTGTGTGAAAATATGTTCACTAACACAAGACTGCAATAACACAGATGTACCATCAGTATTGGTAGGACTACTTTGGAACACTGTCAGCAATTCCAGTTACTCTCTGTTGATTAATTCCCAGTGGAATTCAGACAGACGTTGTACAAACAACCTCCATCTTCATAGTATCACATCCACTTTCCTGTAGTGGTACAGTGTCTTTAAATATAACTACACAGTCCAATAGGCAGCAAAATTTGACTGGTGGGTCATGACCCAAAAGTGGGTTGCGACCCCATGCCTTCCACTGCACTAGGTGAGACGCTCCTCAGTCTCCCCCATAACCGACACTGTCAGTTCTCGTGCCGAGCAGCCATTCAAAATATGCTGCCTGGTGCCAGCTTGAGGTGTGGTGGGCTGGGGGTATGGCCGCTAGGGTGCTCCATCAATATGTGCATTGCTTACAGCTTCCTCACATTCTGGCTCCTGACACCTCTACAGGAAGTGCAAGGGAGCTGTACAAGCAATGCACGTATGGATGGAGCTCTGTCACAGCACATCAGCCCACACTGAACACCTTAGGCCTGGTTAACATCTATGTGTTTTATCGCACGGATTAAGTCACGCGATAATGTGCAAAACCCATACACATCAATGGCAACAGTTCACACCTTAGCGTTGCGTCGTGCGTGCGATATCGCCTGTCGCGCAAAAAGATGCAGGTGCTATTTTTTTGCGCCGTTTTTTAAAGCATTTTGCGCCAAAAAAAACAAAACGCGCGAACTCAGTTAAACAACAGCAATCGCCTAGGTGTGAACCAGGCTCAAAATGTTTTTTTGCAGTGTGTATGTGTGTGTGAGAATGTCTGTGAGTGTGTGAGATCTGGTGCGGGAGGTGTGTTGCGTTGCCATTCATTTGAATGGCACCCCAAACACACCTCCCGGCCACAGTGTATTTGCTAGCACTGTAACATGGGGTACCGCAATGCTGTGCGTTCCAGTGTGGTGCGAACTGGGTTGCAACTTAATAACCAAAGACAAATGTGGGTCCTAAGGTTGTACAGGTTGAGAACCACTGATCTAGCAGACCTGGTCGGACACACCCCATCTCTTCCTCAGCACTACAAGTCTGCATGGGGACACTTGCTATGAGAGGTGTGGCTGTTACTTATAGAATATACAGTAGTACCAGTAGGAGGGCAGGAAATAAGATTAAAAGATATTTGGAAGCATAAATCAGTCAAAAATCATAGCATATGGCAGTACAGGACTACATAAAACTACTAGTGATGCACTGAAATTTCGGCCGCCGCAACATATTAGTCAAAATGGCACTTTTGGCAAAATCCCGGGAGGAGAGAAACTGTCAGAGGAGGCTGAGCGGTGCGGCGAGGAGAGCACTGTGAGCCACACCGCCCCACCCCGCTCAGCCTCCTCTGACCAATCAGGATGGAAAATGGTGTGGGGGAGGAGACAGCAGTGCCCTGTCACAGGAGCCCGAGGCGTCGGTGAGGGGAAAAAGTCAGCTGTCAAAATAGACCCAGCTCTCTTTCCCGCACTGCAAGCTCACACTCCTGGGACAGCAAGTTAGGATGGAGAGCGATACAAGTAGGTCAGCTATCAGTGATCACTGACTGTTTGTAAATGACTGGACATAGTATGAGTTACTATGTTCCAGTTATAAATGAATAGGAAGTGATCTACATTACTTCCTATTCATTCATGATTGTCTACATAGTAACTCATACTATATCCACAATTTATGAATGAACAGGAACACTCAGTATAGAACATTCCTGTTCATTTATAACAGGGGCTGTGGAAAAAGAGATTGTGGACTCTGTGTCCTTAATCTATTTTTCAATTTTAAAAGGGAAATATCAGGGGTCTGTTTAGACCCCTGATATTTCAGGAAGCCCCCAGCTGTAAAGTTCAAACATAAAATTATTTAGTAAACATAAATGCATAACAATAAAATGTAAAAGTTTATAAAACTTAAAAATTAAATATTGTAAAAAAGGTTAGAAAAAAAAATTCTGACTTTTTTTATTTTCGCTTTAACATTTTCAATTTGCAAATTGAAGTGCAAAATTTCCATGTTGCTGTGCAACACAAAGCATGGTAATTCACTACTATGAATTGTGGCATACTGAATTGCTAAAATAGAGCATGTACATTTTTCTGCGTGCTGAATGAGTTAAGGCAGCCCATTCAAATAAATAGGTCGTCTTAATGCAACATACTACGCATCAACTCATGTGTGTTAAATGCAGACGCACAAATGTAAATGGCCTCTAAAACTCAAGCTGGATTTGCAGTAGTCTACAAGGTGGGCAAAGTAATTCCGAAGAGAATAAAAAAACACACAACTATCTAATGTCTGTATGACCGTGGTCATTAAATATAATCTTCCCGCACACTGCCACATTCTCCTTAACAAATGTATTTTTTATGCCTGAAGGACCAAACACATGTCAATATAATGTGCAAGTAAAAAGAGAAATTAATAGTTTTCTTACTGTATTTATTACTAGTTGTTATTTTAAACACATGCCACCCACGCACACATGAGAAAAGAGTTTTAATTAATGGATTGTTCAATTATAATTGCTCAATATAAGCAATTTATAGTGAGAATGCAGAATGCTTTGGGGAAAGTTTAGAACAAGTGTTGAATATTTATGAGCTCATGAATAACCTGTCCGCAATTCTCTGCAGCATTTAAAGAATTTATTTTTAAAAAACAATCACCTCAGTAAACATATATATGAAAATTGGTGTAGGAAAATGGGATTTGCAGGAAAATTGTTTGTTACTGACCCTCTGTGTACTGTAGTAACACCATGGAATTCCCATTTCTAGCAGGTCAAAGGTTGCGAGCTCACACCTTAAGGCCTCATTCACAAAGCTAAGAGTCGGTCCGTACAGATCCGTGCGGTGTGCACAGCCGAATCGGGCAATTCCAGGGAAGGAAAGTTGCTGCGTGTGATTGTACGCAGCAGCCTGTTCTTCTCTATGGGAGGATGCGGCCGTACGCTCATCCGAGCTGCACGTCCATGCAGGTGTCTGTGTTTGGACGCAGACAGGATCCATCCTGTCTGTGTACAAGTACGGACACCCATACCGCCGCATCCTCCCATAGAGAAGAACAGGCTGCTGCGTACAATCACACAACACCTGTCTCTCCCCGAGAATGGCCCGATACGGCTGTGCACGCCGCACGGATCTGTATGGGCCAACTCTTAGCTGTGTGAATGAGGCCTAAATGACAAATTGACGTTATTTAGATTCTGTCATTGTCTAATGTTACCCCGTACTTTGGCAACTGTAGGCAAAAGGCACTTTGCATAGCAGATGTCTGCTCATATCTGCAGCCATCTTCTTTGCTTTCCCAGTTTAGTGCTGGAACCTTGATAAAAACCTGGGATTTTAGAGTATAGGGACATCTAGGAAGTCACAGGGCCAAGAAGTAGTTTTTAACCAAATGCATTGCATGTGCAAAATGAATGTTTTGGGGCCACACAGCTATTTATCAATGTTTTTGCACATGCAATTCATGTAGTAGATTGAACTGCTCTGTGTGGTGCTGGCAACTTCAAAAAGTATAGATATGTGCACCAGTGCCGTCCCTTTCAGCAAGTATGCAGAGACTGATTACTGGTGATCCTGCTTGTGAGGCCAATATTTTATCTCAACAGCATGGTAAAGTGATATTAAAGTCAAAAGGTTTTTAAGCTATTTCTAAAGCTAATTAAATTACTTACAATGGATGCTGCTTCTTGATGTTTAAATGTTTTGGTTTGCTGCATTATCAGCTGGTCCCCTGAGCAATGGCCCCAATATGCTGTTTTAGGGTGGTTCTTTCTCTTGCAGGGCCCTATGGAGCCACCCTTGTGTGTGTCTACACAAACACACAGACACAGCAAGACAATCCCCTCCCCTGCTCATCACTCTTCCTTCCTTTCTGCTGCAAGTTAGTAGATGGACAGCTGCTTTAGACTGTGCTGTCCCCTGTGATCTGGTACAGGACAGGAAGTTCCGAGAAGCTGAGCTAAAATAATGTAATGCAATCATCACATATTCAAGAACTACTTCCTGCTTAGGAGTGCTGTGCAGTGATTTAGATTTAGTCTTTCTCTCTCGCAGTTAAAATCTCTAGGTTACATTTTATGTTGCAGTCAAGCAAGGGTAAATACTGTGGCTGTCTTATATATGGACAAGCCCTAGTGTAATGGCGGGAGCCTCTGGCCCTCCAGCTGTGGGGAAACTACAAATCTCATGATGCATATGCCTCCAAGAGTCATGTCTGTGGCTGTGAGAATCTTGCAATGCCTCATGGGATTTGTAGTTTCACCACAGCTGGAGGGCCGGTGTTCGATCGAAAGTTCGAACTTATCGAGTTCTGCGACCGCCTGACTTCTGGTTTCCTTAGAACTCCAGCGGCGGCCATATTGATTGGGGCCCCTGAGATTAATAACATGCTGGATTACTGTGGATCCTAGTTCATTTTATTACTTCATTGCTGTGGTGTATGTGTATAGGGCAATGCCTTGGCTGGCGCTCGTGCAGAACAACTTTCTTGGGCAAACCTGTTAGTTCTAAGGAAACAGGAAGTAAGGCGGTCGCAGAACTCGATAAGTTTGAACTTTTGATTGAACACCGGGTTTCCCCACCCCTGCCCTAGAGAAAGAATCTGAAAGTCAGTGTATGGATTAAAGTAAAACAAATGTCAAAAATGACCATCAGGTAAATGTACACTAAGGATACACCGCCATTTCCCTTAAAATGTGACATTTCCTTGCAGTGCAAAGCTAGATTGTATCCACACAGAGTACAGCAAAAAAAAGTATTTTTAACAATGCCTTTTGTTATCAGTTGACTTACCAAGTCATCCTTCCAGCCTGGCTGTGGCTCTTGGAAGTGATGAAGATCATCATCAGAATCCTGCAAAACAACAAAGTCACTTTGTCAGTTATTGTGGCAGACGGTTGGATTCTATAATGACATGGGAGCACTGTGGGATCACACAAGGAGTAAAATGAAGCCTCATTATACAAAGCTTACCTTCCCGTATTTCTATACAAGATAAAAGTTTGCCAAGCACAATGGAAAAATAGTGTTTTATATTGTTATCAAAGCCTCCTCTGTATGGTACCTATGACCGAGTGGGGAATATGTACATGCTGCAAAACATTCTGCAAATGTATGGAGATACAGTTCAGCATGACTAGTAATAAACTGGCCCAGAAATCTCCCATATACATAAGCTCTTCAGGGAAAATGCTATAGTTAGCTGTCCTTGTGTTTTGATGATTTGAGAAAAAAGCCAATCAGCGAAATAAACAGTTGAAATATCTATACATGTGAACTGTCTTATCTGCCAAGAAATGTGTAATTGAGTACAGCCAGTCTTGTAATTCAAGCACCTTTTCCATATAGCATAGCCAGGTCCCTGACCTCGACTGTAGTTAGTGATATTGAACTCAATTTTTTTTAACATTTCACCATTGCAGGGCCACACTTACATAGGGTGCTGCTTCTCACCCTTTTAAAACATTATTTTCTTCTTGTTTGGTCAGTCCCATTGTTGCTGCCCCCACCATCCTGTTTTATGGTGGATCCTGTTCCTTGCAAGGTCTTGTGGAGCCACCTTTGTGTGTGGGTTCCTGACCGGCTGTGTGGCTCTATGTTGTATGTGTTATGGTTAACCCACAGCACCATGGCAGGCCAATCCCCTTCTCCCTCCTCCTTCCTCTTTAAAACTAATAAGGAGACAGCTGCTGGTGCCTGCACCTCAATTACCTATTTCTCAGTAAGCAAGCTCCCTGAAAGGAAGTTCGGGGAGGCTGCGCTGAGGGACCTGGGGCCAGTGGCTGTGCATAGCAAATAGTGTAAGTTTTGAGCCTTTACATACAGTACATTATGTGTTGGGGCAAAGTTTACTTAGGGCTTATAATTCATCAATAAAAAAGTGTGAAGGTTTAATACTACTGTAGGCAGTCTGGTCAATGACCTAATACTAGCCTGCTAAGTGGCAACGAAGAAGCAGCAGCACAGCAATGAGTCATTCTCCTGTGCTTTCCTGTTCTGTAAGCATGTTCTGTGTTAGACTGACAGCACTGCGCACACTGATTGTGACGCACTGCTCCCCCTTGCAGTCTGTGTACCTACTGAACCGGGGAAATATAGACAGAATTCAAGTTAAAGTATGTTTACACAGGTCACATACATTGTTGCTATGTATGGGAAGGATTCTTCTGACCACTGCTTAAAGTCTCTGCACATTCAGAAAATGTATCTGTTCACAAAAAAGTGGCTTTTAGATCTCACTATGTTAGTGATAGAAATAACAACGTGAGCATTGCCCCATCTGGAGGTTTGGTGCCGGACCAAACTGCACAGGGCTGCCAACCTCTCCCATTTTTGAAAATCTAAGTCAAACATATCTTAATTTAGCCAACCATAGCGTTAAGTGGCCACAGATAATTCATGAAATAAATTATTGAAAAACTTTAGCAGGGTTATTCACAAAAGAATGAAGAGTTTGGAGAAGGCAGGAGAAGTGACCAATCTAGGACAAAATAGATGATTTGAAAAATTCTCCAATTCAGCTCACTTTCCAGTTCAGCTATGTTGTCCCAGATTGTTCTCTTCTCCTGCCTTCTCCAGACTCTGCACCCTTTTGTGAACAACCCCATAGATTTTGAGCTTTGTTTGAAAATGTTTTCTAACTTCATATGTATAAGCAGGTGTGATACTTCCCTCTGCTATCCAGCAGAAGTTAGAATCAGAGCATTATTTGTGTACTTTGGTCACCATCTGGCAAGTATTGCAACAGGTCTTAGTGCTGAAATTGTTCATGCGTGCAAGGACATGTCTCTCCTTGTCCTAGCGCTGGACTGACTCATACATGGAAGGCCAGGTATTTCCCTGTCCTAGCGCTGGAATTACTCATACACGGAAGGTCAGGTATCTCCCCATCCTAGCACTGGAATGAAGCATACATGGAGGGCCAGGTATCTCCCTATCCTGGTGTTGGACTGACTCATACATGGAAGGTCAAGTATCTCCCCGTCCTAGCACTGGAATGACACATACATGGAGGGCCAGGTATCTCCCTGTCTTGGTGCTGGAATGACTCGTGCATGGAAGGACAGGTATCTCCCCATTATGGCCAGCTTATTTCAACTGTATTAACCCCTTCATGACTGAGGCCCTTTTTTCCATTTTTGCACCCATGTTATATTCCACATTTTAGGCCTGAAAATGACGTAAAACCCCCCAACATTATATATTTTCTGAATGCCAAGACCCTAGAGAATAAAATGGTGGTAGTTGAAAATTTTTATGTTGCGCAATATTAGCGCAACTCCTTATTAAACCCCAAAATTTAGTGACAAATTTAATTAAATGCCCCAAAACACAACAAATTACCCATTTTATAGCAGATGGTGGTGACAGGATAAAGCTATACTGAATAATGTATTTTTTCAACCTATAGAGATATGAAAAAAAAGTATCTGGGTGCTACAGATACTTCCCCTCAGTATACAAACATACTGGTGCACCACTGGTGCACTGGTTCCTGCCCTACTGTTTGTGTGGTGGGGACATAAGCTTGTAAACTGACCTGTTTTAGTGTTTTAGAGACTGATGTGAAGTAATGATTCCAAGTGGTCTGTAAAAACATTCTGAATATGTCAATGCTATACATATGAAATAAACCTTAAAAAATGACTACAGCTGAGAAGCCTGGAGAGGCCCAGCAGCCCATAAACACTGTCAAGCAGAATATCCTTTTTTATGAATGCCATAAATAAATGACTGACAATCTTCTAGAACTGGATGAAAATGTATCTATTCTGACTCCTAATGTCCTACTACTGCTTCTAAATGAGGTTTTCCCTCAGTGTAAAATTCCAAGATTCTACTACATATACATAACGCATACTTACAATATACATATTTATTCTTCGATCCCATCCAACAGCCACAATATATCTGAAAGAATATGACAGCATGGCATTTTATTATAACAATTTATTGTTACAATGTCATCTACATCATCACTACATCATCATCTATTAGATTGTAAGCTCTCTCGAGCAGGGCCCTCCTACCTCCCGAAATGTTATTGTTAAAATTGTATTGTCTCCCTCAGTTTTGTAAAGCGCTGCGCAAACAGCGAAGGTATACTTGCCCACAGCACTGAAAATTCATGTTCCAGGAGGTTAGGATGTAGTTAGGACAGGCAGAAGTGTTCTCCCAAAGCTGGCCATACACCTATAGATTATCTGCAAATTTTCTATGGTCAGATGGAAAAAGTGCAACAGATTGCTCCATCTACACTAAACTATATGGATGGAGGAATCTCCCACTGGGCCAAGCTTCAGTATCCTGCTAGTCGGCCCCGCTGGCTCTCAAAATACCTGAACAATGCCTGCATCCAATCAGATTGTTCAGGTATTTTGACAGCCAGCGGGGCCGACTAGCAAGATACTGAAGCTTGGCCCAGTGGGAGATTCCTCCATCCACACAGTTTAGCGTAGATGGAGGAATCTGTTGCACTTTTTCAACCTGACCATAGAAAATCTGCAGATAATCTTTTTTTTAAAGATAATGTTTTTATTGGAGAAATCATAAAAGACAACAAATATAAACAAACCACGAAGACAACAGGGGGAAAAGGTACAGAAAATACATAAAATACATAAAATACAGGGTCTGCACATCTGATCATTGGTAAAGTACAGCGAGGTGGCACAGTAATAGGCTACCAAGTTGTCGCTGCATGGTTATGGGAGCACGCCCTCAGCGTTATCGGGGGCTTCTGCATATATCCTGTGCATGGGGATAACCACCCCTGACCAGGCACGTATGAGAAGAGACGTAGTTTAGCATAGCACTGCATAGGGCCCATTAGGACCCCCATAGGCCGTACCATATAGTGCAGAGGCTGAGGAGAAATATGCAGGGGGGAAAAAAAAAACAAAAACAAAAACAAAAACCACAAGATAAGAAGAGAGAAAGAGAGAGGACAAAGCAAGGAGAGATGAAGGGTAGTCCAGCATACGTATCAAGTACAAGTACACACTAATACTGGTATAGGGAAGGGTATGTCCATTCTCTACTGACCCATCCGGGCATCGTGGCCTCCCCCATGGAGGCGTGTTCACAAAATCAGGAAGCAAGTAACTCACGAAAGGCAGCTGTGGTGCAGAAGTGAATCCATACACTCCACACCTCATAGAATTGCGGATAGCGATCACAGATATTGGCCGTAGGTTCCTCAGTCCTACAGAGAGTCTGCATCTCATCTATCCATTCCTTCATGGTGGGACTCAATGGAGATTTCCAGTGCCTCGGAATCACCGCCCTAGCCGCCAGCATAAAAAATCTCAGCAAGCCTTTCTTGATTGATTTGTAGGAGCCCTGAAACATGGAGAGCAAGGCAAGCTGTGGTGTGCACTCCACCTCTATACCCGTCAGTGACTCATAAGTGGAGAAAATGGAAGACCAGAACTTGGTAACCCCCGCACAACTCCACCAGATATGTAACATTGAGCCATGGTGTAAGGAGCATCTCCAGCACAGGTCAGACACCTGAGGGAAGAAGACACGAAGCCTGGTCGGGCAATATCTGCAGATAATCTATAGGTGTATGGCCAGCTTTACATGCTAGTGGGAAGAGAGAAAGCACAAAGAATGTATTGTGAGACATGCTACCTTGGGGTTACTAAAGAAGTAAAGCATGTTCACTTAATAAGTAGACCGACCCTTAAAATCTATTAATCGATCCCTTGATGATTCATCCTCTTAATCTTTACAATATGGCCAAATGGAAAAATCAAACATACACAGATAAATTCTACATGCCCGAGTCCTGTTTATTCCTCATAGAGCCCTGTATAATTTATACATGTACAGTAATACCTTGGTTTACGAGCATAATTCGTTCCGGAAGCATGCTTGTAATCCAAAGCGCTTGTATATCAAAGCGAGTTTCCCCATAGGAAATAATGGAAATTCAGATGATTCGTTCCACATCCCAAAAATATTCATATAAAATGATTACAATACTGTACTGTAATATAATACTGTACAAAATATAAAGAAAAATAAACCAATTACCGGTACCTTTTGTGGCCGGTGTGAGAGGGACAAGAGAGAGGAGGATTATTGTGTAGGACAACTTTCACTATCACTAACGGAATCACTGCTATCTCTTGACTCAATGGAATCTTTTTCATTTCGTGAAACCTTAACAAGGAATCTGTCCAATGTGGCATTGCATTGTCGTTAAACCGACTCATCGCTCGCACTGCTACAGCCTTATTCGGTGGTGCTTTTCTACAAAATTTTGCTCTTCTTGCAAGACATTTGCTTGTATATCAAAGCAAAATTTTTCAGAAATGTTTGCTTGTCTTGCAAAACGCTCTCAAACCAAGTTACTTGTAAACCAAGGTATTACTGTATGTGTAAAATGTAACATCTGACATACAGTACCGACAAAACAGAACATATACAAATTTGAAACCTGCTAGTTTTAGACAAAATTCTATTATACATTTTACATTTGAGGGCAGTCCATCCAAATTTGTTATTTCAGTGGATTCCTGCAGAATAAATGAAGCACCAGCTTATCCCTTGGGGATTCCAGTAGCCAGAGTTCTATGTATAGAAAATGCTCATGGCTATGTCTCCATATATACTTGTCATTGAACTAAGAAAGTCAGAATAATTGCTTGACATTTAATGATAGGAACACTCAGAGTGATATCTCATCTGTATAGTATAAGAAACCCCCCCATCGTGTGGCATAGACACTATGAAAAAACAGAAAAGGGATGGTATATAAAGTCCGCATGTGACCTATTGTAAAGTATAAAAAAAAAAAATCAGCTTTACATAAAAAAATTAAAACTCATCAATATTGTTTGGCCACAGCTATGCAGTTTTAAATGTAAATGTTGGCTAAATCTAAAAAAAAAACGGTAGCTGGTCACAGATGGGAGCTTGTACCAGGAAAGTTATGGAGATGAGGAAAGGAGGAGGTGCTGATGTCACCATATAGATGTGTGGTCCAGCAGAGGAGAACTCATGTAGGGCTGACAACACTGTTTGGGATTTCAGGGCAGCAGAACCAGCATTGTCAGCCCACTACATGACATTAGGAGCTTCTACATCAGTATTTTTCAGTACTTGCGGCATTTTATAACACAACATGGGGAAATATGCCTGTATTGGAGAGCTGTGCGCAATGTATTTGTTAGATTTTACCCACACTTTAATTCTTAAAGTCAAAACAAAAGTAGTAAATATATTTGTAAATGAATGATCTTACTTGTTTCTATTTATTTCTATATAAGTGCAGTCACAGATCTCATCAGATTTGTTTGCTGAAAATGATAAAAAGGGATAGAAATTAATTCAGGATGCCACCTCCAAAGGTAAACAGCTCACAAAAAGTTTACACTGTCTCTATTCATTCCCCCTACTTTTCACATGTCTTCTCACAAACAGAAGCTGCATCCATGTGTGACTCAATGCGTTTATTCTCCTAAAGAGTAGAGATGAACCTGGGCTTGGTGAGAATCCAGTTCGCCTGAGTTTATCCAAGCCCACTCAAAATTGGGACTGCCACTCCCACCTCCGGGCCCAATCAGTGACGGCAGTTGCATTCTCCACACCTCTGTGGTATATAGCTGCAGGGTGGGAAATGTTCCTTTCAGCAACTGATTGGGGCAGGAGGGGGTGGCAGTCACAGTTCTGAGCAGGCTTGGGTGTAGTCAGACGAACTGGGTTTGCAAAAAGCCCAGGTTTAAAGGAGAACTATGGGGTTAAGGCTTTTCCCCATAGTTCTCCTTAGGGTAATGGGAGGACACAAACTAGCATCCTCCCGTCACCCTAGGCTCAGTATACCGCGAGCTGTAGCTCAGCGGTATACTGAGCGCCGCAGCTGAAGCGGATCCCGACAATTATGCCGGGATCCGCTCAGCTGCGTGACTGACAGCAGGCTATGCCAATCGCCTATCTAGACAGAGCCAGCTGTACCCGCCCCCTCCCCATCAGCGCTGGGGGAGGGGACGGGTCGGGGGGGAGTCAGCGCTGGCGGACCGGGGAGGGGGGAATCCAGCCCCTCCCGTCATGGCAGAGAGCTGTGACAGGATCGAGAGGTGAGCGAACGCCGGTATGTGTTCGCTCACCTGCCGCCCTGTGACAGTCTCATTGTCACAGGTCGGCTTGAACTATGAGGTGAGTGAAAAGCACTCACCTCATAGTTCTCCTTTAACTCTACTAAAGAGTACCTGTGCTTCAGCAGTAAAGAAAGCTGTGTAAAAGGACAGTAGACACATTTTTTTTGTTTTATTAATTAAGGTTTTGGTGAATTTTGGTAGCATCATGTTTCAAGAAGAACTCTGGGCAGAAGAAAATGTAACCCTTGCAGTGGGGCCTTTCCCCGCACTGCAAGGATTACGTCTTCCTTTTTATCTAAAGTCTAAAATAACAAAGTTATACTCCCCCGAACCTTGACTGCTAGACCGGTCCCAGAAGCCTATCTCCCCTCCGCACTGGGGATGGAATTTCCCTTGGCATTCTCATGTCCAATACACTGTATGGCACGTGATGACTCACAGCTTCTTAGACCTCTGCAGCAGAGGGGGAGCAATGCTGCAGGGACTAGTCTAGCAGCCAGGTGCATAGGAGCTATGGGTCAGTATATATTTGTTACTTAACCCTTGCAGTGCAGCGGTAGCCACGTTTTCTTCAAGGGTTACGTTTTCTTCTAGACTGAATTCTTCTTTAAGGTCCAGTGTAGTCCTTTGTGCCCCCATACATGTAATCATGGCAGAGCTAGCAGATTAGCTTGTAGAGGATTTCGGTGTGAAAAGTTTCAGCATCACCGAATATCACTCTAAAATTAAATCTTCCACAACCTAACCTCATTAAAACATCTATATGGAAATATCAGGCTTATCGACACAAAGTGGAGCTTAGTTATTGCATGTGGATGGGATTACAGAAGAACTAAAGCCATTTTTTCTATCTTGGATAGAATATAAGCCCTGTCAGTTTTTTCGTTTGTTATTGCCATCTATGTCCCATTGGGGAGATTTCCTTTCACTTCCTGTCACTTCCAAAGTGAGGGAAATACCTGTTCTCACCAGGTTCACCAGAGCTAGTGTCCTAATTGGAAGATTTCCGCCTAAATGCTGTTCTGGTGGCAACTCAAAATGTGGGATTTTCTTTCTCTTCCACTCTCTGTTATTGTGGTCACCAGGACAAATTGAGAGTGTGATTCTTCCTAATGGGGACACAGCCAGCAATAAAAAAAAACCTGACTGGTATTCTAATCCCTCACCTCTGTAACCCAAACTAAAAAAAAAAAAAAGTTTTCACTTTAGTTATACTAATACCTTCACATTTAAAAGACAACGTCACTGGATTTGGCTGGGAATATTTCATAAAAACATTCTAACTACTTTATACTGCCCAAAGGATGATCATAATACTTTATTTTAATTTCTTCCAGATTGTTTCCCCTGAAAGGAGGAAGAAATTGTAGATATGATACGGACAGCAATCAAATTCTATTCTGTAGTGGAGGTTTGAAAATAAAAGCATAGGCAACAATGATCATTGCTTCCAAGGGAAAACTGTTCTTGTTTATCATAGCAACTAGAAACTTCCTTTCAATCTTCCATGCATTGTCAACAGGATGTCAATAAACATACAATTCATTTGTGTTTTCTTTTTTCTAAATCTTAATATGTCAGTGTTATACATATGATATAAATCAAAAAATTCTTACTACAACTGAGAAGCCTCAAGAGGGCCAGTAGCCCATAATCAGTTTTAAGTAAAATATCCTTTTTATAAAAGCAAAAATTAAAGGGTAATTCCACTTTGCCAGGTGAACTTGGGAAAATGGAAATACCCCCACCAATCTTCCCACCCTTCCCCGCTGCTCTAACCTGTCAACAAACGATCCTTCCCCTCCGTGGCTGTCGGTAAACCGTCACACACTGTAGTGCAACCTTGCGCTTGGTATTTTAAATTCCACTCGCAAACTAGGGCTCCCCTAAAATCGGTCTTGCACAGGGGCCCTTCACTACTTTTTTTTGCCACTGATAAACTTACAGGTTTGAGTGCATGCATTTTTTCTTAAAGAAGAACTCCAGGAAAATCAAAAAGGAACCCTTGTAGTGGGGCTACCCCGCACACTGCAATGGGCAAGTACTTGGTTTTCTAGGGGGCTCAAATAAAGACGATATACTCACCTGACCCTTGGTCCCTCCAGGCTGCTAGACCGGTCCCCGCAGCCTCATTTCCCCTGGGTAGCGGTAGTCTAAGGGTCACTGACTTTATGATGTCCTATGCAGGGTCACTGACTTGCATTAGAGGTGAGGATGCCAAGGGACATTCCACAGCCGAAAAAGAAGGGGGGAGAAAGGTGAGCCCTGACCTCTACAGGCCCGAGGATCAGGTGAATAAATCTACTTTATTTGAGTCCCCTACACTAAACAAGCACCTAACCCTTGCAGTGTGGGGGTAGCCCCACTGCAATGGTAAGTTTTTTATTTTCTTTAAGTGGGTAATAATTACTGTGCACAGCTGCACACATTTTACAAAAACAATTCTAAAGAAACACTAAAACACAGAAGTCAAATGGATTTTAGCCTGCGTGCCATCATTCTCCAATTTGCCTGCACTGTGGCCTTGTTTATACGTTGGGTTCTTTACGCATTCACTACTACAAAAGAATCAAAATCAACAGACAGTTTGACTGTCCTTAACCTGCATATTTGTACGTCACCTCTACCTCTCAATGTATTCCCAGCGTGGGCACAGAGAGAGAAATTCAGGCCCCAGCTTAGAACAGTCAGAGGATGAATAGAATGTACCTTGTCCCTCACTGTAAATGAAATGACTTTGACTTGTAGAATGTTTACCTCTCCTCAGAGTGTGCAGGCACTGTCCATTATTGTAATTCCACACTTTTAGACAGCCATCTCTTGCTCCTGTGATCAATCTGGTGAATGGAAAATAAATTGCTCATTAGACAGTATACAAATAATATTTCTCAATGAAATCATCATTTCTTGATTCATCCAATCACGTATTGCATTACATTTTAGAGAGATGCAATTCTTTCATCAACATGATTGAATAATGAATCCTATCGTAACAGTTATGGCAACCAGTTGTTTACATGGTACATGAAGTTTCCTTATCTTTACCATTGTTTTGAACTAGAAGTACAGTTTTCGTTGCCAGGAGTTTTCAGCACAGTGGCTTTGAGGTCAGCACTGCGGTATTGCCGTATTGGTGTCTTTGGTGCGGCGTATTAAAAATACAAATATTAGGCCTTGTGATTTAAGGAATTCAGTAACTGAAGTAGCACAAAAAGAACACCTCATGCTTTAAACACCAGCTACTAGATGCCAAAAAGCCTCCACCTATGCCCAGGCTACAGACATTAAACTATTTACAGACACTTCTCAGTATACAATGGGGTTACGTTCTGATAAACCCATCGTAAAGCGATAGTATGGCAAACCGAGGAGTCGTATATACACGTGATATTCAACACTTTTTGTAATTAAATACAGTAGGCTTTTGTCCATCTGTAGGTTACTGTAAGTGTTTTGGCCAAGTTTAAGGTTAACCCAATGAATATCTGTATAGTGTATATATACAGTATGCTGCTATCGTATACGATCGTAAAGTCGAAAAATCGTAAACCGAATGATCATAGACTGAGGAGCATCTGTAAATATTGTTGACCATCAGTAAAAGAGATGTAAAATGTCCCTAGCTGCCGTTAATGCAAAGTTATTCCTTATTAAAGACCTCAACGAACACAACAATGGCTCCAGAGCAGACTTTCTCACCATTTGTACCCCAGAGGAACCATTTTATATATTTTTAGGTCTCAGGGAACACTTGCTAAAACCAATTAATTGGTGGTTTGTGGGAAAAATGACCCTTACATTGGTGGTCAGTAGAAAGAATGCCCCCCTTACATTTGGTGGTCAGAATGCCCTTACAGACAGCTTAAAATATCATTGGAGTTATACATCTGGCTCTGCCAAGTGGCATTGGTCCCAGAACTGTACAGGCTCCACCAAATGGGAGGTCACTCAGCTATAGTTCAAGCAACCGCTAGCGACTTCTGGAGCAACCCTTGTTGAGATTGGCTGGTCTAAAGTATGTTAAAGAACCCCAGGAAATATAAAAATTAACCCTTGTAGTGGGGCTACTCCTACATTGTAAGGGTTAACTGCTTGTTTTGGTTTAGGGGGCTAAAATAAATAAACTATACTCACCCGAGACCTGCAGCAGTGACCGCTCACCTCTCTCCCCCTCCACTCCGGCAGTGCAATGTCCCTTTGCGTCCTCACGTCTAATGCAGCTGCATTATACATAATGGCATCATGGGTCCTTAGACCGCCAGAGCCTGGGGGAGAAGTGGCTGCAGGGACTGGTCTAGCCAAGCTGGACCGAGGCTCAGGTTGAGTATATTTTCTTTATTTTAGCCCCCTATACCAAAATGAGAAGTTAAACCTTACAGTGTGGGAGATCCTAGATTTCCTGAAGTTTTTCTCTAACAGACTTTTGACCAGCCATTCCTAACCAGGGTTCCTCCAGAGGCTGCTAGGGTATCCTTTAACTGTAGCTGATTTACCTCCCATTTTATGGAGCCTGTATAGCTCTGGTACCAATACCACTTGGTACAGCCAGCTGTATGAACCCAATGATCTATTAAATGGTCTGTAGGGGTGGCATTCTGGCCACTTCTGCAAGGGGGGGGGGGCATTCTTCCTACTGACCACCAACATGAGGTGCATTTTTCCCACTGACCACCAATGAATTGGTTTTAGCAAGGGTTCCCCGAGACCTAAATTTAAATTAAAGGGTCCCCCTGGGGTAAAAATGTTTAGAAAGGCTTCTTTAAAGTCAGTTATGGACAGCTTAGTTCTCACTCACATGAGAAGTTGTTTGGACTTCCCAGATCACTTTCTGCTGCTTTTTAATGTACCAATGTTTGCTTGCATTTGGATGTGTTCAAGGAATGTAATCTTCCCCTGGATGCACAGAGTTCTATTTTCTAAATGCAAATAACCTGAATGCACCTAAAAGCAATACATGCATTTATAAATATCCTATAATCGCATGTATGTTATTGCTTATTTAAATGAGGCCTTATAAATACCTATTGATTGTATATATTAGAGGGCTATCAGTCTGTCAAGATTTGGTTCTCATAAAAAAAGGTTGAAAATAATTTCTTCAGAATGGTTAGAGATACAGAGTTGAATAAGGGCTTGTGCTTTTAATCCTTGTTCAGAATATGTAAAATATTGAATGGGCATGATCTGAGCACAGGTTCAGTTTAGAAATAACAAAAACCTAATATAAGCATTACCATAGTATTGCACTCCAGCAATGGCTACATCGTATGTGTCAGGGGGGGGGGGTTGCCTGATGGTGAAAGATGGAGGTGTAATGTATGTTGAAATGCACAGTTGTAGTTTCCATTGGAAGCCCTGCAACTGTGTGACAACGCAGGAGCCCAAATAGGAGACACGGCAGGAGCACAGAAATTAGCATGATGAAAGCTACAGGTTTAAAACACTGAAAATTACTATGAAAATGACATTAACACTGTTAGCAATCACCCCAGAGGAACTTGTAGAGATTTTAGTGCTTGGGTTTACATTTACTTCAAAGCAACTCACACCCACACCAGTTTTTTATTGGATGTTTTCAGACTGGATCTGGGATTTCTTCTCTGTACCATAAATGGCATTTTAAGGCAATTGGTTTGCTGACTAAAAAGGGCTCTCAGAGCTTCTATATATCAAAACAGGGGTATTCGTTTTCCTCCATTCTCTGTTCAACAGCCCTATAGCTGATATAATTACTGCTAACATGTGCAGGGCAGATTGTCTACCATAATCTATGACTTAAAGTGTATATAAAGCTAAAGCGTTTTATATTTTATCAGAGAAAGTGGTGAGGGGTTAGGTCATCTTTTTATTGCTGTCTGTGCCTACACTAAGGAGATTTTATCTTTCTGATTGTCTTATTGACCACTGTCCTTATAATAGAAGGTAAGGAAAAAGGCAAAAGTTTGAGTTGTCACCAGAGCCGCAGAAAAAATCTTCCAATGGGATCACTTATTTCAGTGATCACTAAGGCTCCATTCACATAGAAGCGGTTGTCAGGGCGTATTCGGCCGTACGAATACCCACGGAACCGCTTTAAACATAAAAAACAATGCACTTTATTGTGCATTGTTCAGACTTTTGTGGCAGCCGTGCGATTTCGCAAAATAGTCCAAGTGTGATTTTTTTATAGTAATAGCCACAAATGAGTGGAATCCATGCAGATGAAAGATTTTAGCATTTGCGTGCAGCACGGTCTTCCGCATGGAAAACGCAAAAGCTATATGTGAATGGAGTCTGAGAGGGCATTTTCTTCAATTTGGAGACATTTCCTCTCCCTTCCTGTTGTGTCTACTGGGATCTATCCAATGGGAAAACAATGGCAAACCCCTAAAAAAATTGGACTGGGATTTTAATTAAAAAAAGGAAAAGGCTTGGGCTTCAGTTATACTTTAAAGCAAACCTGTACTAAGAAAAATACAAGAGATGCCATTGCTAGCATTCTTCTGAAATTGCTCGGTGCCTGGCTGTCCTGCTGGTGCAGTGGCTTCAATGCTGTCTGTGTCACTTACTCAGCATGCAAATTTGGAAAGTCAGAGGATAATCAAAACACATAATCTGCATACTTTTTTAGGGTCAGTGGCTTAGAAAGCACTGAAACAGGTTACGCCTAATGGTCAGGCAATGGCTGCCTTCATACTTTTATAGTCAAGGTTTCCTTTAACAACTGCTCCGGTAGCATACCTTCTTCCGCTTGGGTCAAATGTCATACATGTGATACCAGCATCTCCATGGGCATCATTAAATTCAAAAGCTTGTTTCCCAGTCTCAAAATCCCAAACTCGAACTACCTGCAAAGAAAAAGCAAAAATCAATTTGCATATGTAAATCCTTCTCCAAACAATCCATTTGAGTATTTGAATGTCATTCAAACTATATTACCGATGATCCTGGCTTACAGCTCTAAAAGCAAAAGAAAACAATAACAATTGAGTCAACTCTTCTGAAACACGTACCGATCCCTCTGAGCAGGTTACCACTTGCCGGAAGGCTTTGTTGAATTTGCAGCAGAGAACTGGCTCTTTGTGAGAAGTATCCAGGTATGGCGGTGCTATGGACCTAGCACAATGAAGAAGAGGATTGTTAGCACAAAGCACTGATCTAAATACTCTTATCTCTACATACCACTCATATCGAATAGAACACAGATCAAAGAGGAACACCACTTTCAGGAGGAAAACAACAAGTTATTTCCCTCCGAGAGTTGACTAGTATATGTCTGTTGCTCCCACAGATATCTGTCTGTCATCTGATCTGTTCAAAAGCAGCTTAAGTGATGACCATGTCATGTCTATAGCCAGCTTAAAGTATATACCTTGACTTCTTAAGCTCTACACACATTTGTAATGCTTGTAAAACTGATGAAAAAAATAAAGCATGAGATGATTATACCTACTGCATGTAGGAAAGCCTCCCTCACCTCCTGTTTCTTGTTGATTAGGCTTGAAAGAGAGTGATGCTATCCAACCAACTGATCCACTTGCCTGTGCCAGTGTAGTTTTGGCCTGGCCAGCAAAACTAAAAGTGAAGTTGTCTTTTAAAGCCTTTGGATCAGCATGACAGATATCCAGCATTTTTAGGAGAGGATAATAAAGGCAGCATCCATATTCTCCTAGTACAGGTTTCATTTTATTGTGATGGTCCAGGCAATCAAGCTGCACCTAGGGAGCACCTAGAGAGCCCATCATTCTGACATTAGACAGCAATGTCTGAGACTAACACCATTTGTCTGTGCCAGTGTGACACAACTGCATACTTTGTATTTTGTTGTACTGCTTACAATTTGTCTTCATAAAACTAGATTGCTTTCTGTAAAACTAGCATACACCAAATAAAAGCATTTTAGTTTTATGTGGACTTATCCTTTAAAAGTGCTCTTAGGCACGAGTCTCATAAGTTTATCTGAAAACCTCATAAAGGACGGTCTGATGAAAAGACATGTTGGCAACATACAGGATGTTCTTTACTCTAATTCATGTTTTATTTATCATGGCCATATGAAAGCACAGTACAAAAAGCTTCTGCAGTGTAGAATGAAATGAATCATAGTAAACCCACTTAGTGTGGGCAATTTACTTCATAGAACATTCCCATGCTGTGTATTTTTTGTGCTCTGATCGTCCATTTACTTATGTAGGAAGCAGGAGAAATGTATCCTGATGCTATATCAGATGTACTTAGAAGGGCTTTGAAAGAAATGTTTCCACTATAGGCGGGAGAATTTAGCAAAAATAGGAAAGACAGGTTTACTGGAAAAGGGAATGCAGATTAGTAAGACAGATAACAACTTGCTCCTTGAATGGGTAATCTTTAATGACAGTTTTTATAAAGTAATGGTGGCTATTATAAATATAGAACTGTGCACAGGACATCAACATCTCATGTCCAGAGGCAGAAGGCACAGAAGAAGATGAACTTCAACCTTCTTAGAATGGGGTCATTTCAAAAGCAATTGCCACTTGTTTCTATTTTTGGTGCAAGCATTTATAACCGTATATACAAATAAAAAAAATTAAAGTGACACTAAACTCAGGAGTTAAAGCTTCAAAATGCATTTAAGTACCTTAACTAATAATAAAAAATGTACTTTATTTGTGTACAACTCGGCTGTAGATCTTCAAATCATCTCTGAATTCATGCTGACACTGTCCTTCCTTCTGGAGAGTGGCTACTGTTGTTCCCCATGGTCCCTGTGTGTGTTGTAAAGTAGTCACCGCTCCAAGCTCGCTCCTGTGATGGACTACAATCTCACGTTTAGTTTACTAATTTGCACTAAGATTGTAGTCCATCACAGGAGTGACCACTCCATCATGTGATGGACTACAATCTCAGTGCAAATTAGTAAACTAAACGTGAGATTGTAGTCCATCACAGGAGCGAGCTTGGAGCGGTGACTACTTTACAACACACACAGGGACCATGGGGAACAAAAGTAGCCCCCCTCCAGAAGGAAGGACAGTGTCAGCATCAATTCAGAGATGATGTGAGGATCTGCAGCTGAGTGATACACAGATAAGTTAGCTTAAAGAGCTTATTTGTAAGGACCCACAAAAAATAGCCGAGGAGCTACAGATAGCATTATAGACTACTAAAATATGAGAACTGTCTTCTTAATTTAGAGCAGTGCCATATTTCTCTCAACCATAATAGTGGCCTCTTACCCCATCTTCTACCACATGCCTCTTTTTTTCTTTTTTATTATCTGTACAATTCATCTCTCAAATCTGGTGCCTGCGCATGGCCAATCTTGCACAGTCAGCTACAATTGTCTACAACACCAGCAGGAGAAAACCATGGAGAGGATAGTAGGTGGGAACATAACAGACACAGAGGTGGAAGCCTTCTGGATTTCGCCCAGACATCTCTGGCCACTCATTTACTGACAGTGCCATGGGTCTAAGCACCAGTGGGCAAGAGAATGTTGGGTAAAGTCAAAGTGGCAGAAAAATCATCTTCATTAAGCTGCTCTGTTGCAAAGTCTTGATTTTCTTGTCTTTAATCTCATCTTGACCATGACCCTAACTAAATAGGGTACACTGCAGCTGCTGTTATACTTATTCCCCCCACAAACTCAGGCTAAAGAAATCACAAACATTCCCAGGTATGACTATAGACTATATAAGATAGTGGGCAATAGTAGGAGTGTTACCCACGTTAGCTAAGACTGATTAGGGAAGGAAGCCTAAATTACGTTGCATTTTGATGAGCATAGTTGTTGTACTGCTACAACAACCTGTTTATCATTCTTATGTTGTGTATTTGGTATTTTCCCATGGTTCCATCACCTATTTGTACAGACTTGTATAACATCCTCTTTATCACACTGAGCTAAAGTAACAACTACATTGGATTCCAGCCGGTGAGTCTTGTCAAGTCAGCATGCTGCCATATTATGCATATAGATTGGGTCTCAGGAAGTATGTTTTTTGCATATAGCAGCATTTGAAACATAACAGCTGTGATGAAGATAACTTTGTATAATTTAAAGGTCAAAGCCAGATTTATCAGGAAAATATTCATTAGGCAAAGTAAATTTAGTTTTGCATTGATCAACATCCTAAATTATTAGGTATATGTGATCTGTGATATCTTTGTTAAACATAAGTTACAGTATGTAGCACAACGGATCATTGTAAATGGACACAGAGCAGGTTGTCTGCATCTAAATTCAGGTGAAGTACAATAAAGATGTGACATAAATGCTGCCTGTGGTAGTAATAGAGAATACAATATAATCATATAATATTTATTTTCATAACCCAGCGGCATTAGATCATAGAACTATGAAGTATGGTAAGCAATGTTAGCAAATTGCCCTTCTGGTCAGCATAAACCACGGGCCCCTCGCTGACCTCAGCATTCAGCATGCATGGAAAAGATGAAGTAACTTGGGAGGAAAAGCCACCAGAGGGGTGGAAAAGAGTGAGACTAGAGAGCCAGCAAGTGACAGAAGTTAAAAGCATGGCAAACAAAGTGTATATCCAGATAAAGGAAGGCTGGGGAAGAAGATGCACAGGAGTTAGTATTTCTTTAGAGAGGAGGAAATGACATTACAGTGCCATCATATCTTTTTGCCATCAAGTGGGATAGGATTGTACATGCTGTGAGTAGAGGTTGGCCTTGTCACTACCCTGCACTCATGCCATCTCTGACGTTGTCATTCCTTCTACTCTTCCCCGTGATGTGATTCACTGTCACATTGTCAGAAATTGCACTGGCCACGTCCCCACATGCCCAGCATGACTTCAACCAACTAAGATAACTTTTAATCTCTGATTTTTCTTATCAGTCTCTGCACTCTTCTGCATAACCTCAATTGCTGCTTGCATTTCAAAAGAAATCACTTTTTATTCCTGCAGTTTTCCGATAGGTCCTGCACTCTTCCCATTGCCCCTTGTTCTAGCTTGCCCTGATTGGAAGGCAGGTTCTGTCTTTTGGTGACCTAAATATTTCTCATTCATATTACAATCAATAAAAAGTCTGTGCATGAAATATTTTAGTGACGAAAAATTATCTGGGTAATTCCAGTGTAAATGACAATGTGCTGGGATTAATTAGCAATAGGCCTGGTGGTTCAATCTGTTGAGGAACAGCCTGGGAAGCATGTGGTTTTGAGAACAATTCCCTATGGCCTCACTATCTGGGTACAAATATCAGTGTGCGTGCTGCTGTCAACCACAAACTTAGTAGCTTATGCTGCCTAGAAGCAGTTTTAAAACTGGTAGGTTGCAAGTTCACATCCCTTTAGCTTTTGTTAGTCATTACTGCCTGGGTAACACTAATATAAGTGTCAATTTGCTGGCAGGTAGCAACCAAATGCTTAGGAGCTTACTTTGTAGAGAAACAGACTTGAAAGTGTGTGGCTGAATTAAATTCCCTAAAGGCTTTATCATAACTGTCTGCGTACTTAAGTATAAATATTGTTTGCTTGCTGGTATCCTGACATTAAAAAAAACTTGCTTATTGTCATCATTAGCTTGGAAACTCAAGCATCTGTGAATAGGGTTGAGGACTATACAGTTGAATGGACATTATTGTAATCGGCTAAAACTGTTATATACAGTATATGCCTGTATCCCATTTTATTGAGAAAAATAACATAAAAACTGAAAAGGCGACACCTAGTTTTCAGTTGCATAGTATTAACTCTGAAACCTTCTCAGAATTACTGCAGACAATATAGTGCTGTAGCCTGGGTGGTTTGTCTGTCCCTTATCTACAGGCCACGTCTTCTCTCTGCTTTTCTCCTTTCACTGCTCCCTTTGGTGTGTGAGCTATTTTAGTGACATTATCAGCTCCTCATTCTCTAAGCTTTTCACCTTAATAATCTGTTCTGTTCCTCATTCATCACCTGCATAGCCCTATGGCCTATCTCCACCCCCCCCCCCCCCCCTCTTTACAGCATAAACCACGGGCCCCTCGCTGACCTCAGCATTCAGCATGCATGGAAAAGATGAAGTAACTTGGGAGGAAAAGCCACCAGAGGGGTGGAAAAGAGTGAGACTAGAGAGCCAGCAAGTGACAGAAGTTAAAAGCATGGCAAACAAAGTGTATATCCAGATAAAGGAAGGCTGGGGAAGAAGATGCACAGGAGTTAGTATTTCTTTAGAGAGGAGGAAATGACATTACAGTGCCATCATATCTTTTTGCCATCAAGTGGGATAGGATTGTACATGCTGTGAGTAGAGGTTGGCCTTGTCACTACCCTGCACTCATGCCATCTCTGACGTTGTCATTCCTTCTACTCTTCCCCGTGATGTGATTCACTGTCACATTGTCAGAAATTGCACTGGCCACGTCCCCACATGCCCAGCATGACTTCAACCAACTAAGATAACTTTTAATCTCTGATTTTTCTTATCAGTCTCTGCACTCTTCTGCATAACCTCAATTGCTGCTTGCATTTCAAAAGAAATCACTTTTTATTCCTGCAGTTTTCCGATAGGTCCTGCACTCTTCCCATTGCCCCTTGTTCTAGCTTGCCCTGATTGGAAGGCAGGTTCTGTCTTTTGGTGACCTAAATATTTCTCATTCATATTACAATCAATAAAAAGTCTGTGCATGAAATATTTTAGTGACGAAAAATTATCTGGGTAATTCCAGTGTAAATGACAATGTGCTGGGATTAATTAGCAATAGGCCTGGTGGTTCAATCTGTTGAGGAACAGCCTGGGAAGCATGTGGTTTTGAGAACAATTCCCTATGGCCTCACTATCTGGGTACAAATATCAGTGTGCGTGCTGCTGTCAACCACAAACTTATTAGCTTATGCTGCCTAGAAGCAGTTTTAAAACTGGTAGGTTGCAAGTTCACATCCCTTTAGCTTTTGTTAGTCATTACTGCCTGGGTAACACTAATATAAGTGTCAATTTGCTGGCAGGTAGCAACCAAATGCTTAGGAGCTTACTTTGTAGAGAAACAGACTTGAAAGTGTGTGGCTGAATTAAATTCCCTAAAGGCTTTATCATAACTGTCTGCGTACTTAAGTATAAATATTGTTTGCTTGCTGGTATCCTGACATTAAAAAAAACTTGCTTATTGTCATCATTAGCTTGGAAACTCAAGCATCTGTGAATAGGGTTGAGGACTATACAGTTGAATGGACATTATTGTAATCGGCTAAAACTGTTATATACAGTATATGCCTGTATCCCATTTTATTGAGAAAAATAACATAAAAACTGAAAAGGCGACACCTAGTTTTCAGTTGCATAGTATTAACTCTGAAACCTTCTCAGAATTACTGCAGACAATATAGTGCTGTAGCCTGGGTGGTTTGTCTGTCCCTTATCTACAGGCCACGTCTTCTCTCTGCTTTTCTCCTTTCACTGCTCCCTTTGGTGTGTGAGCTATTTTAGTGACATTATCAGCTCCTCATTCTCTAAGCTTTTCACCTTAATAATCTGTTCTGTTCCTCATTCATCACCTGCACTTTAGCCCTTTGCGCTCTCCCCCCCCCCCCCCCCCCACTTTCTTTTTTCTAGGCTCTACATTTTTATGGTCCACCCAGATGCCAGCCCCTCCATGCTCATTCAGCTGCTTAAAATGCCCCACTGCACATACCTTCCAATCAACAGCCCTTGCCTGGTTATAAATGTATATAGTCTGTATAGATCACATGCCCTCCAAACACATCCATAAAACAATTATCTGTGCCATGGATTCTTTAATTTATCATTGTTAAATAAAGCTGAACTCCAGGTATAAATAGGTGTGCTTATTTACATTGGTCCAGATTGACAGTTTTTTGTTGTGGGACTTTTGCTTTAATGACCATAGCCTGGCCATAGTTCTACTTCAACTCATAACCAGTTCATTTAATCTATCTTGACCAACCCAGATTGTGATACTGCAGACTCCAGTTTTGTGATACAAGCACTGAATTTTAATATTTATTTAGCAGCTTCAGGAGAGAGATTTCTGCATCTGATTTCCCAGCTCCGCCGACCCACCATGGTCAATACCAGGTACATGATGGAAAATGCAGAACTGGGATTCTTTGCTGAGCTGTGGCAGAGTCTACAACTTTACCAAGAAGATAATGCTCCCTTAAGTCCATGGGAATTATAAAAGTGCACGAGTGATGTGGTCATCCAGTGTCTACCCCTAAATTGTTTTTTTCAAAGCATTTAAATATTTTCTTACTTTAGCTTGACCTGCAGAAGAGCAATGGAGTCAGTGGTAACACAAAGTGCTTTGATATCTGGGATATAGAGACCAGCGGTTAGTTCCCCTCTGATTCCGGTTGATTTTGAGCAGGCAGTAAACAAACAGGTCTGGCTTTGAATGTCCCATATCTGAAACAAAGGAATGTTATGAAATACAGTGCAATAAATAACTGCTCACAGGTAAGTATTATGTTAGGATCTTAGAAATTAACAACTGACCCCTTTGTCTGATTTACAATAAACTTGGGATGTTCGCATACCTTTCGGCGAGACTCATCTCTTTAGGGAAGCTAAAGCAGAACTTGTCCACCTCTTTCTCAAACAATTCATCCCCACACAGCTACCTCCTCATGTATCACTTGACCCCTCCCTCTTAGATTGTAAGCCTTCAGGGGCAGGGCCCTCCTTACCATCGTGTCTTGAATTGTATTTTAATTAAAATGTCTTCCCTATATTGTAAAGCGCTGCGCAAACTGTTGGCGCTATATAAGTTCCTAACTTCCTTTGGCTGACAAAGCTGCCTCTGCTGCCCAGGAGTATTAGGAGAGGGGAAGAAACAGCAGGCAGCCGGTATGGAAGGGAGGTGGACAAGTTCTGAGATGCGATGGGACGGACGGCTGTGTTAGAGCCATGCATGTCAGCGGCTCTCTGTTTGGTACTGCCCAGCTCACTGATGGAACTGGTTGCCAGGAGCTCGGTGAAACGCCAGCCAGAGCGTCCTGCTCATCTCCCTGGCAACCCCTGGTATGCATTTCTCTGTTGCGCTAGTCTATATGGGATGTGGGTGCTTGTAATTTAAGTGTATGTACCACATTACAGCCATAACAAAACACACCAGCTCTGACCCTTCCACAATGGGCCTGATGGTAGGTTGAACACTGGGAGGCTATAATAAAACAGATAAAAAGAAAAGCATTGGTATTTTTTTTCCAGAAGGCCCTCGCATGGTCTGACTTGGACCCATTGATGTCTTTGTATGCTTTTTCTTTATTCCATCTTACTCCAATAATAGTATTTCATATAGAGTGGTGGGACAATAGGTCGGGTTATAGTTTCTCCCTTTGAATCTTTTTTTGGGACGCAGCAATGTTACAAGTGTCCACTAGAGGGAACATGGACCTTTTTTATACTGACCATTGAAATTTTTTGTTTAGGCTCCCTAACTTATTATAACTGATTATTATGTTTATTCATTTTCTTACAAAAGCTACAGAGAAACACTTTTACTAGTACAAATCGGGCACAGGAACATTATAAGCTCTACGCAGAGGCAGCTGCCAAGAAAAGCTTCACTGCAATTTTTATCCAATTACACTGTCATTTTTACTATTTATTTTTTTCCAGGTATACAAGTTGTCACTGGAACAGAAAGCTAGGCGATCGGAGAGCTATGCAGAATATGTTTCAAAATGTTGCCCGCACATACACTTTAATGTGTCTTTTCTAGTAATTTATATACTCTATAGTTTATCTTCACACTGGGCAAAAGGGACAGTAGTTCATTCCCAAAAGGGTATTAAACATGCCTACTCTATCCAAAAAGAGAAAAACATTTTAGCTAGAGCTCCACTTAAAAGTGCATAATTAACCACTAAGTGGCACTGTGATGAAGCCTTTAGTTGTCGACTTTTTAATAACATAACATTTAGATCTACAAGACGACAGATATTTATGCTGTTTATGCCTTTGTAGCCTTTGTAACCTTCTGGGTTGTAGTTGATAGATTGCCTACATACTGAAAGGATAATGAAACCCTAGGACAACAATGTAATACATTGTGGCTTATGAGTCCTTAGATGGGCGGCTGCATTTGTTTCCCCTTTTGAGTCTAAGAACATTTTAAGCAAGAACAGAGACATACTCATTGATCCTGCCAGAAATGCAGTTACCCTGTCAGTTACTGTCAGCTGACCTGGAAGCAAAAACAATCTTTTTTGCCTTAACTGCTAATCCCATCATCCCCAAAGTAATGGAGATGAACAAAGCAGACACATTTAAAGCAGAACTTGGGTAAACATTTTATTAACCCTTACAGTGGGACTACCCTTGCACTGCAAGTGTTGAGTGCTTGTTGTTGCCTAGGGAAAAAATAAAAAAGTTACACTCACACAATCCACTGAGCTGGCTTGCACATAGACCAGTCCCTGGAGCATCATCTCTCCCCCACCACTGCAGCGATCTAAAGTCCCTGAGTCATCACTTTCTATACACAGTGTATACGACATGAGGACACAGAGGGGTGTAAGAGTTCTTTTTCAAAGTCTAGTCTGGGTGACAACCATGCCTCCCTCTATACAGCCATAGTTGAGTGGAAGAATGAGCATAGCCCTCCCAGGACATTTTCAGCAAGTACAGAGAATACACATCGATCTTGCCAAAAATGCAGTGTCCCGGTCACTTCCTGTAAGCTGAACTGGAAGCAAAAGTAAGGTTATCTTTATTCTTTAACCCCTTCGACAGAAAATATATAATGTTGGGGGGTTTTACGTCATTTTCAGGCCTAAAATGTGGAATATAACATGGGTGCAAAAATGGAAAAAAGGGCCTCAGTCATGAAGGGGTTAAACGACTAATCTCCCCGCCCCCTTGTAATGAAGATGGAGAGAGGAAGATATGTTTAAAGTACAGCCTGGGTGGCAACACTGGCTTTAATTTTTCCACATGTATAAGACCGTTGCAACAGGCAAGACCCACGGAAAGAAAGTGTTTATCATTGGCATTGTTTTATTGTTTTTAATTACATTGAGGAGGGCATATGATTGCCCTCTATTTTTAGTTACTGCACATCATTATTGCTCTCTTGCATTGTTTTATTGAGTAAACACTGATGAACACTGCTGCTCTGATGCTGCTGATATTGTGGCAGCAGACAAAATTGCTACGCTTAACAAAATGGCTACGCCTAACAAAATGGCTACGCTTAACAAAATGGCCCACGGTTTAAATAATGTGGGGTTTTTTTTCTACACATATGACCCTCTGACTTCTGCCCTACAGTGTAACTTTGTAACCACAAATGCTGATGGCATAATCTTGTGACTTAGGTCCCCCTCCTTGCAAGATTGTAATAGTAATCGGTCATGAGTTTATGACAAAAGGTTGTGACAGGATACATGAACCATATATAGTTAAATTGCAAATGCTGCTTGCTGATTGGCTTAGAGCTGTCTAAGGAAAGAGACATATTGGAAATGTGTAATGTGACGTAATTGTTATTATATATATTTTGTGACCAGCCCTTAAAGGAGAACTATGAGATGAGTGATTTCCACTCACCTCATAGTTCTAGCCGACCTGTGACAATGAGACTGTCACAGGTCGGCTCAGTAGATCGGGAGGTGAGCGAACACATACCAGGTTCGCTCACCTCTCGATCCTGTCACGGCTCTCTGCCGTGACAGGGGGAGGGGCTGGATTCCCCTCTCCGATCTGCCAGCGCTGACTGGCGGAACGGACTGGGGAGGGGGCGGGTACAGCTGGCTCTGCCTCTAGATAGGCAGAGGCAGCTGTCACTCACGCAGCTGGGCGGATCCCGTCATCTACGTCGGGATCCGCTCCGGCTGCGGCGTCTCAGTATACCGCGAGCTGTAGCTCGCGGTATACTGAGCTTAGGGTAACGGGAGGACTCTAGTTTGTGTCCTCCTGTTACCCTAAGGAGAACTATGGGGAAAAACACTGACCCCATAGTTCTCCTTTAAGGCGCACCCAGCTTCTGGAAGACGTTAGTCGGCTGGGTTTCTGTACAGAATAAAGAAGATTTGTATTCCTGAAGTCTGTGTCCGGAGTCCATTGCTGGTTTCCCAAAGCTATTTGCCGCTACAATATCTCACTTGCATCAGCACATCACGAACAGCACCCAGAGGCCCCTAAGTGTACTTTTGCTCCTGGCTGTATTACGGAGTCCAGTGCATATGATCTCAACAGGAACAGGTGATATTGAAAAGCTTTGCAAAACAGCCAAGCTCAAGTGTTCAATCCATGATTACTGCTCACAGGGTTTATTGAATACTATAAGGAGCGAGTGGATGGCATGCTCTGGACTCCGTTCTGGCTACACTAATGCAGACAGGGCTCCAGCAGCCATAGAACAGCAGAGTAAGCCAACCCAATGTCAGATCATCTTACCTTTATTGTACAATCGGTGGCAATAGAAAATATCTTGTTATCTTCTGAAGAGACCTCCAGAAAGAATATGGGTGCTGTATGACCTCGAAGCATTCCTGTAGCTCGCCTGGGTTTAAAGAAAAGATGAATGGATTCATTAGATATTTCTACCAATTAGCAAATATAACTATTTGCATAAGTGAGTAAACATGCCTGTGCTGTGATATCCAGTGTAATTTTTATTATTTCTGCTGTTTCAGTTATACTGCATACCTATTTCATTGTGTTATGCTGAATTTCTAGCTACAAGTGTAAGATTAGCATTGTTACAGCCTAATCTCTGCAAATTTGGTATCTTCCACTTCACCCCTGCTGTTTTCTGTAGGGGTGAAGTGGAACTTCCCAGTGATCCTTTGTACAGCCTCTTTTCTTCATCACCCTCACTGAGGTAAGAGGGTCTGTTATCCTGTTAATGGCAAAGATAGGAATGTCTTTTCACTCTAAGAATGACAAGGAATCACATCCTATGTATTGAGAAGGTAAATAAACTACATAAAATTATACTTGCAGTCTTTTTATCGAATTGGACATTATCTTTGAATATCACCAAGTCAGTAGGTTGTCATACTGCCCGTACAGATAAGTCTCAGGAAAGTATGTGAAAATACATAAAGCGGTGGTTGTAACAGAATAGTGAAAAGACAGAATTCTAAGCCTATAACAGTCTGCAATCTACAAGTTTTCTCCTGTGCCTGAGGGAGCACATGTCACAGAATCACTTGCTGCAGAACCACCTTAGGACCAAATTACTGTCTGCTGTATCATTCCTTTCACTGAGAAGCAAGCCTGCTTACACACAATTCCCCAAGATAATGCTGATTCTCAACAGGAAGAGATATCTGCTAGACCCAAACGTACAATGAAACCTTCTTTGAAGCTATTAGAGCATTATGAAGCAAACAAAGCAGAAATGTCCGATAAGTAGTCTGATATGTGGAATAAGACTGTACAATGCATACATGCCGCTGATGACACATGTGACATAGAGCAATTGAATAGCATGCTTGTAAGGCTAAAGAAAGTTTATGAAAACTATCAGAGATATTCTGAGAAGTATGCCACTCTGCTAGTAAGTATTACCACAGAGAAGTCTGTTCAATAACTAGAACATCTCATTGCTCTTCACAAGGAAAGGCACAACACCTTTCTAGACGCCAGAGCGAGGATAGATGACAAAATATCACCATTGCACAAAACTGCATCTCTCCGCACTACATCCTCCAGACATTCTAAAAGATCTTCAAGATCATCATATTCGAAGCATTGAACGTCTGACAAGGGCTTGTGCTGAGGCCGAGGCAGCAAAAGCAGAGGCTTCTTGCGTGAAAAAGAAAGCAGCTATTAAAGGTACAGGTCACTTAGGCACAAGCAATGCAAGCTAAAGCACAAGCTGAAGCACAGGTAATGCAAGCTAAAGCACAAGCTGAGGCATAGGCAACACAAGCTAAAGCAATGGCAATGCAGGCCAAGGCTGAAGCAAAGCTAGAAGTCATTCATAAAGAAAGGGAGGAAGCGGTAGCCATGGCTAAGCTAAGAGTTTATGAACAAGCTGTTGCTGAAAGTGAACTAGACAATATCAGCTTTGCAAATACAGAGAGTCGCATGGAGCGCACTAAGGACTATGTCTTAAGCCAGAGCAATAGATCTTCAGTTAACTGTGATGTTCCTGACCACACGGACATTCCTTCAGACCGCCAGCCTCTTAAAACTACTGTGATTTGAAATGTATGTGATGAACCTGTTACGTTCTCTACCTAGCAGCAGATCCTTTACGCTATTCCAGACCATCTGAGCCGAACGCCACAGAGAGACAAACCGTCAACTCTGACATCATCGCTCAAGCTAAACCATCACCACTGCTTCAGGTTAGTGATCGTGCTCCTGCTAGCTCCATTCCTCAGAATTTAGCTTACAGTATATTCCAGAATATAATGCATGCTCTTCTCTGTAGATCAGCAATATGCACATGTTACAGTGTGGGATATGATGAAAAAGTGAGTTGCCCAACCCATTTGAGGGCTTAATGTTTATTGCATATTACGATAAAAAAAAAAACTTAAGGGGTCAATTTACCAAGCTTCACTGCATATGCATGTGCGTTACACAGTGGTATTCGTAATCATCATTATATAACCAGCACACTGGCTAGTTCACAAAATAGAATATTATTAAACCTTGCAGTAATTTATAGCTGACTTACAAGCTGGAGAAAAAAGCATGCAGTGGGGCACCCTCTGGATTCCAAGGGTCAAATGCTTTGTCTAGGGCAGTGGTTCTCAACCTTTCTAGGGGTGGGACCCCTTGGTAACATTTGCCAAGTTTTGGTGACCCCCAATGGTAAAATTTAGGTATGACGCGGCTGCTGCAGCAACATCTGGCGGCGTGGCGGGAGAACTGACACTGCTGCGCTAGGAGAGTGCTGAGGTGGACTCTCACCTAGCACATCAGAAATCACACAGCGACCCACAGGTTGAGAACCACTGCTCAAAGGAGACAACGAATCCCAGAGGAATACAACAAATCGTAGCAATAGTCCATTATACTATAATGTTCTATTGCTGGGATTTGTAGTCCTCTGCAGCTGGTGTTATTCTGCGTTGCGCTGTAGAATTTATTATTGCTGGGATTTGTAGTCCTCTGTAGCTGCTGGTATTCTGCAGTGTGCTGTATAATGATTACACGGCGCAATGCAGAATAGCACCAGCTATAGAGGACTACAGCAAATGGCAGCAATAGTACATTATACTATTTGCTGCAATAGTACATTATACTGTAATGTACTATTGCTGGGATTTGTAGTCCTCTGTAGCTGGTGTTATTCTGCGTTGCGCTGTATAATGTACTATTGCTGGGATTTGTAGTCCTCTGTAGCTGCTGGTATTCTGTATTGTGCTGTATATAATTTATTATTGCTGGGATCTGATGTATTCCTCTATAGATGGTGTTATTCTCCATTGCGCCGTATAATTTTATTATTGCTGGGATTTGTAGTCCTATATAGCTGGTGGTATTCTGCATTGCGCTGTATAATCAGCGCAATGTAGAATATGCTAGGCGACCCCCGGCAAATTGTCATTTGACCCCCGACGGGGTCACGACCCACAGGTTGAGAACCGCTGGTCTAGGGGATGATAAATAAGATGAATTACTTACTTTATTCTTTATTACCCTGACAGTTGGAGCTCTCCAATGCTCCTGGGATGTGTATGGACCCTCAGTGTCCTCACATACAATGAAGGACCACTGATTCAGAATTATATGCAATGACATCAGAGAGCTGCAACTGGTTGGGCAGGGAAGAGGAGCGGCTTCAGGGGACTGGGGGAAAGCGGAAGTAAGGAATAAGGTAAGTATCGCACCTTACTCCAATCCTCTAGACAAAATTAGCATTTCACCCTTGTGGTGCAGAGAGGGCACCCCTGCCAGGGTTACGTTTTCTGCAGCCCAAAGTGCAGCTTTACAACTCTTCATCAAAAAATTGTTTATACAAGCAATGTCAAAAACACCACATGCCATACCTGCAGCAGCCTCCAAAGCATTGCTTTCATGGCTAAAAAGACATGCGTTCGGATAGGAAAATCTTCAGCACTTCCAGGTAGTATGAAGCTTGCCTTTAACTCTAGCCCCCACATTTCTATTGGCCAAGCACAATGATGGGCGGCCTCACTGGCCAATAGGAATGTGTAGAAGGCAGAAGGCAGCATTATCTGGAAACGCTGAAGCTTTGCCAGCGCAGTCATGGATTCAGTCAAAGATGGTCGTAAGGAAGGTTTTGGATGCTGCTGCAGCTGACTGCACGTTACCCCTACAACAGTTTTTTTTCCTTTGACAAAGTAAAGCAAAAATTCAAATTCTGAATTAAATATTATTGTAAATTATCTCAAGGGACAATAATAAAAAAAAAACAAATGAAGCATACTGAATTGACCCTTAGGAAATGTGCAATGCAAAGTGAAAAGTTAGCTGCACTAATTATGATTTCATGACAACAATAATGAAGAAGGTTACCCAAATAAGGACTATCTTACTGATGTCATAACATGTACACAAAGTCAACAGCTTGCACAATCTTTTTTTCTCAGAGCCAAATATTTGCTCTTGTTCTCAGGTATGTGCCTCAGGTTAGTGAACTGAAGTATATCATGCCTGAGGGCTTGTTCACACCAATTGCAGTGCGTTCCAGAGCAGTAGCGGCTACATCGCAACTCCCCCTGGGTTTTGCGGCGGGAGGGGCGCGTCAGTGTATTGAAGTCAAAGGCACCACTTCCAGCTGCTGCCACCCCACCCGCAGTGCGATCGGACGCGTGGCAAAACATAAAAACATTGCCTGCATTCTGTTCCACTGCAAACGCAAAAAAAAAAAGAGCAAGCAGCATTTTTTGCGTTTGCAGTGGAACGGAATGCAGGCAATGTTTTGCCATGTGTCCGATCGCACTGCGGGGGGGGGGGTTTGGAAGCAGTGCCATTGACTTCAATGCACCGCCATGCCCCCTCCCGCCCCAGAACGCAGGGGGAAGTTTTGTGAGCGATTGCGGTGAGTTGCAGCAGCTACTGCTCTGCAACACACCACAATTGGTATGAACAAGACCTTATAACTGACCTGAGGTTGAAAAAAAGCCATTTTACACTAATTGTGATATGCCTTTCTTGTCACAAATGAATAGCATGTGCTCAATGCCCCATATTAAAGTACAGTCCTTTGTACAGTAGGGTTGGCGTGTGAAACGAAGAAGCAGTACAAGAAATCAATCCGTTCATATGCTGACAAGAAGCATATTGATAGGAGGAGAAAGCAGAGTGACAGATAGATGAATTCATCACTGTGCTGCATCTCAGTACTGTGTACTCAGTAAAGTACTGCAGGGGATATATCTAGGTTGTAGATGAATATTACAGTAAAACTGGTATAGTTATTTTAACTTTAATAAGCTATTCATTTTATTTTGTTATTTTTAGCTACAATTCTGCTTTATATTAAACCATTAAAGCCTAAACTAGCAATTTTCGTGTTCCTAGCTGCAAAACAAACTGTGGCGCAGGCGTGGAGGAAACAACAGATCCCCTTTGGGGGGGTTAGTAGAAGGTTGGACTCTTTCTTTACTAACGAAAAACTGTTCAGCATCCTGATGGACACGCAAAATAAATTCCGGAAGGTCTGGGACCCTTGGTTGGTATATGCACACTCGACCATTCCCCTCACGAGCCTAACGTCATTTTGAGTGGATTCCCCCAGCCTGGTGGTTCCATTCCGCTGCCACATACCTCCCCCCTCCCTGATCCCCTACTTCTTCTAACTTTCCTTCTTTCCTCCCACTCTTGACTTCTATGTATGGCACTCTTGCCCCTTGGAAAAGCACCTTAGGGTGCTGGATACATTTCGTTTGATCCCTACGGTTATGGGGAAAAAATATACAATTGTTTGCAACTGTTACCGACAAGGTGATTGTATCTTGTGCCTTTTTACCTGAAACTGTATTGTACTCTTGTTATATCTGTTCTATCCATAAGTACAAAAAAACACCTGTTTATCCTGCTAGGAGTCCAGCATCTGCATTCCCAAGATGACAGTGCTGCTCCTCCATACATACAGTATGATAGATGAGCAGGCAGGATCACAAGGTAAAGGAGAAACTGCCTGAAAAAAGAACACGAATGCAGCCACCACATCTAAAGACTGGTAAGCTGCAATAAAATACATTTTTGTTTTGGGTTTAGATACTTTAAAGTGACATTAAAGACAAAAATGTTTTGCCCTCCCCCCCATGTTAATGTTAGCACTTACCTTAAATGATGTCTCTTATTCCGATCTTATTCTTCTTTCCTGATGTTTTCATCTGTCCCTCCAGCGGTGCGGCGTCTCTCCGATCCAGCGCTGACTGCTCTGTCCCTCCGATCCAGCGGTGTCTGCATGCGGATGCACAGGTCCATACACTTACCTTGCGTCTCTGCTCGTCTCCTGGCCGAGAATCCGAACTGCGCATGCGCCCGCCCCAAGATCCTTTGCGGCCGCACAAGCAATGAGGTAAGTTTAAACCGCTGTTAAAGAGTTGTTTTTTTAAAAACATTTTGCCTATATCTACTGCTTGATAGCAGTAGATATAGGCAAAAAAAAAGGAGGGTTTAGAGCCCCTTTAATTCCCACATTCAACTCTATACTGTATTTGTCACTATGTCTCCCTTCCCCCAAACACACACACAAATACACAAGCAGTTGTTAAGCCAATAGGAAACATTGCACAGTGTAGACTCTACATCTCACCATTGCATTCCCCCCTCTGCCTATTAGAGCGGAAGCAAGGTGAGAACTCTGTCTCATGCCATCAGTGAAAGTTACAGCTTGATACAACATTCGCATCTTACCCCATCATTACAACTCTAGGTGGATTACCCCAAACAGTTTGATTGCTACATAAAAAAGAGAGCTTGGACATAGCAGTCTCTGTTTAGCTAATATAATATAGTATGTTTCTGCTGACTCTGTCTTGCTCTGTAAAAGCAGAACTGTTGCTCTTAGTCACAGTCGATTTGATGCATCCCTCCTCCATAGGCATAACAAAGGTTAATTTTAGGGATACACCAATACCGATACCAGTATCAGTATCGGTGCCGATGCCGAGTATTTGGGCGGGTACTCGTACTCGCCCAAATGCTCCGATGCCTGGGACGATATTTGGGCTCCCGGTATCAGGATGTCATTACAATTCATTGCACGCTGCCCGGCTTCCTGATTGGCCGGGAAGCCGGCTCCATGCTCCCTCGTCACTAGTGACGAGGGAGCATGGAGCCGGCTTCCC